GAATGAAACTGAGATGTCCAGTAACTTGGACAAACTGTGATACCAGTGATCTGATCATATTCTAATATTATTCCACCTTACTTTTTTGATTTGGCATCTAATTTTACTTCATGTATGCATTAGTAGGAATTTCACTGCAGCAGGTAGAGGAGGAGTTTGTTAAGTGAGTCACATTCATAAGGTGTAAGTGAGAAGTGTGGTTTGGTTTTGGTTGGTGATGTTACCTCTGTCGGTGCTGAGATGTGCCTCAGTTAGTTTGCCAGCACAGAGGAAGTAATCACAAAATACCATTATGAGTGACCTTCAAAGAAAGAGTTTTCGTCTACAGATGATAAGAAAGCTGATTTCCATTTGATAGAGAGCTGTCTCTTTTTAATTTATGAAGTTAAGGAACGTTTTTCTTAGTTTTAAAATCAGAGGGATATGTCCGGCACACTGGGATTTAATGAGTTTAAGGAACTGTGGGCTGTGGTCAATGGCTGGAAGCAACACTTTGTAAGTTTTGACAGCGATAGCAGTGGGACGGTGGATCGCCCAGAACTGGAGAAAGCCTTGACAACTATGGGTAAGCTGTGCAATTTCCTCACTGCTGGTGAGTTCCAGCATTCCCCCATAACTACTGTCTTACTATAGTAACTGATCCATAGTATTTCCAATAAAAATGTTCAGCCGTGTTAACGTACCTGTCTTTCTGTTGCCAACAGGATTTAGATTGAGCCCGCAGGCCGTGTCTGCCATCACCAGGCGATACAGCACTCATGGAAAGATTACTTTTGACGATTACATCGCCTGCTGTGTGAAACTCAGAGCTCTCACTGGTATGTCAGATTATAGCCTTGTTACCATCATCTCTGTAATGTGTTTTTATTTAATAAAATCTAATTACTCAGGTTTCTCGTGTTCAACTTTTATGTAACATAATAAGTTTCTTGCAGTGGATTTTACAGGCAGAACCATAACAATTACAGATGATGATTACTGAAGTCCATGTTGGAAAAAATGGACTAATATAGGGTTTGTTCCAGAGACTGGTAATATTGTGTTATCAAAACTGGGAAACTGTATTTATTAATGGAGCAGAAGGTGCTGTGGATGGCAAACATAGGGATCAGTTAAGTCTTGAGTTCCTTTGTTCTTGAGTTCTCATTCTTGTGACTTCGGGATATTTTTTTTCTTCCCTTTGCTTTACTCTGCTTTAATTTCTCATTTTGTTCAGTCTTGAACCTTGTGTTTTGCTTTATAGAATCAGAACCATAGAATCACAGGGTTGGAAAGAACCTACAAGATCATCTAGTCCAACCGTCCTCCTGTTACCCTTGCTGCCACAAAAAATTGTAGTATGAGGATTAATACAAACGGTTAACTGTAAGAGTCAAGCTCTTGCAATAGACATGTAGCTAAAATACAGTGAAAGTACAAAAAAATTGAGTAGTTCTTACTTATCTTTTGTTTTGTTTTAATATTTTTTGCAGAATGTTTTAGAAGAAGAGACGCATCTCAGCAGGGTTTTGTGAATTTCCAGTACGATGATGTAAGTAAACTTTAAAGAATCAGTTAAACTTACGGGATAAAACTGAGGGAAAACTTAAAACTGGAATCAAACATGAATAATTTCAGTTAGTGCCTCTTGCCTATGATAACAGTATTACCTGAGAGGAGTTTTGGGGCTTTGTTTCATTGCGCTCTGTTGGATTCAGATAGGCAAAAGGGTTGGAACCGAGTATTCTGTTACAAAGCTCACACACATTTATAGAGATGTTTCCAAATTCATTAGGAGTTTCCTGTGGATTCCTTTACCAGTACAGTTCAAAAAGCTGTAACACTTGGTAACATCGCTTGGACTTTGTTTCTTTGTTTTAAGGCTTGGTAGGCGTTTTTCCTGGGAAAGTCTAGGGGAGGTGGTGGCATGGACACAACAAATGGTACTCTGTCAGCCTTGCAAGTCTTGGCTTCCTGGCTGTTTGTCTCTATGCAAGATAATCAGAACAGTACATTCAAGTAGTTCTGTGTTGTTATTGTTGTAACTTTAATTGACTATTAGATAGTTTTCATATGTAATTACAAAGCTTTATTGCTTATGAACTGAGTTTGTTTACAGTAGGAGGGAAAAAAAGCGTTTTCTAATATGTGATTTTTTTTTTTTTCAGTTCATTCAGTGTGTTATGAGCATCTAAATCAAAAGGGAAAGTGTGGATCACAATTATCATTCCAGTTCGTGCTTTGCTTTGCCAAATTATTCCATGACTGTGTGCCTCAATATTGGAAATTACGTACTTTCTGAAGGTATTGCTTGGCATACTTGTTCAGTTTTGATAATGAATATAAACTAATCATGCACTGTAATGTGTAACTTTCAACCTGTGACTATTAAAGATTTTTTATTTTCATGAACTTCTAAGACGCAATGTGTAACAAAGATTACGGACATATTATGTTTTTCTGTGTTTATTTTTTTCCTATGATTCACTAAAAATTGTTTCCTGGTGAAAGCTACCACCCTCTGTCTTCAGCAGTATCATGTAGATGGCATAAGAGAATATTCTTTTGTCTTTGGCAATGCAAGATATGTAAAAACCGAAAGAGGTAGCTTTGGAAGGATCACCTCTTGACTGTTAGAGCATCAGTAAAATCTAAGGTGCTTGTTTTGGCAGCTGGGCATTTTAAAGATGAGATCAATGACACCATCCACTGAGTGTAAGACTGCCTCTTACAGCTCCTCTTAAACAGGAATAAAACACAGCAGAGAACTCTTCTGACAGTGTGCCTTTGTATAGGGGGTATTTGTTTCAGTAAGATTCTTGCTCTCTTTGTGTCACTGCATAAAACATTTTAAAACAAGTAAGTGTGTCGTGTCAGTTTATACATTACCTTTATCTATGAACTTTAAGTTGCCAGACTGCAGCGACGTGTCAGTTGGTGTTTTTCTGTCCTTCTCTTTAAACCCTAGCCAGTACCTTCCTGTCTTTATATGTTAAGTAGCATATAGCGTAGCTGCTGGGGCAGAGCAGGCAAGGAGATGGAAGCTGCTGAGTGCTTGGCTGCTGGCTTGTGTCAGCCCAGCACAGGCCTGGTATGTTCATGAAAAAAACATTAGGCAATAATGAATAAAGCATTCTTGTAGATAAGTGTAACTTACTGATTAGTCTGAGACCCCAGAAGTTGTGTTATAGGTATGAAGTTATGCCATAAATCTTGAGAATTAATGATGAAATAATACATGAGAGTAAAATTACATCTGCAAATAAAAGCTTGAAGAATGCTCTTAGCTGATCTGTACCATGCAAAAATGGTCCAGCTTACCCACTTACTGTGGAAACAAGGAATTTCTTTACTTTGAATAGTACCAAGGTGGGTTATGTTTTTGTGGTTTATTTGTTGTTTTTGAGAGAAAGGTGGGAGGTGGTGTTATTTATATATTATAAAGGGGAGGTGTAGGTTAGATCTTAGGAGGAAGTCTTTCACTCAGAGTGGTGAGGCACTGGAACAGGTTGCCCAAGGAGGCTGTGGATGCCCCATCCCTGGAGGCATTCAAGGCCAGGCTGGATGTGGCTCTGGGCAGCCTGGGCTGCTGGTTGGTGACCCTGCACATAGCAGGGGGGTTGAAACTAGATGGTGACTGTGGGCCTTTTCAAACCAGGCCATTGATGATTCTATGATGATACCATCTTTGTTTGGCTTCTTTTTTCCATGCTCTCTGGTGCAGGGAAAGAAGACCAAAACCAAGACCCCAAGTTGTCTTCCTCATTTGAACCAATCACCTACTGGGCTGCAAAGTACTGCAAGAAAATGGGAACCAACAGGGTTATCTTCATGGATCTTGTAAACACAAAACATACAAAACTGTGAAGCAAAGAGTTCAAGAACCAGGAACAAATTCTAGTTTACCAAAGAAAGCATTGCCTTCCATATGCACTTAAAAAAAATCCTGTGTTCACAGGGACAGGCAGAATACATCACTTTTTGCTTTTAAACATAAACAAAGATAATCATTAAGGTTACTAAGGAGTGAATACAGTGCTGTCATCTTCAAAAAGGAAAAAAAAAAAAAAAAAAAAAAACAACCTTTGAAAATTGTTTTCCCATTATGGTAGATTAATCTATAACTCAGAATTGAGGTTTTCTCTTTCCCAGAAGACAGTGAAAGAATCCATATGATGCTATGTGGGATGATTGTTCTTGATCTTCATACAAACAACTGGGAATAGTTTAAAATTGACATTTTTTCCAGCTTACTTTTAGACATGCATGCCTAAGGAACAGCAGGACAGTAAGACCAAGATTGGGAAGCTTATAGGATTATTTTCAAACGTGTAATTTGAAAACCAGCATCTGCACTTCAGGCAACAGCCTTTTTTTTTCTCCCCATACATTCAGCACATTTTTTTTCCAGAGATCTTTAAAACAGGATGTAAATGTGCTAAATACAATAATTTGAACAAGAAGGAAAATACACACGTGGTCTTTGTCATTGAAAGTCACTTTACTGATGTTACAATATGTTAGTAACATTGAAAACCACAGGCATTTGTATTAAATACTCTCATAGAAGTAGATATGTGATGCTGTTATTAAAAGTGAGCAGGAATTTAGAACCCCAAATGACAACGATCTTATTTTATAAAAAGCAACGTTTTGTTCAGCTACATGAAAGCCAGATTCATTCACTTCAACAGCCCAGTGCCTGTAATGCTGATGACAGAAACATCACGCTCAAAGATGGAAGTTGTGAATTGCAGCGCTTCATTCTGGTGTTTATCAAAATCTTATGTTTCTATTACATCGGGTACAATTTTTAAAGGATTTTAACTAGCAAAGATGACAATATGATGTAAATTGGTTGTTTCTGCCAACCTCGGCCCAACCCCAACGGTGAAACAATTCTTGCCTCCCCAAATATTTTACCTGTCAGGGCTAGCAGGACTGGAAAAATAGGTAGCTTTCTCTTACAGTGATGTCCAGGATTAACATCAGCACAAAATGAAGCAACTGGAAGACAGCACCCCAAAAGCTTTGCAGAAGGAAGTGGTCATGTTGTAAGGAGTGTTTTCTCCAGCAGATTAAAAATTCTGTAATGCTTTGCTACTCTGAAAAAAAATATTTTGCGTTTATGCAACGATAAAAATAAGTACTGTACTCTATATAAAACACTACCTATTGGAATATATCTTTACCCTTAAGAAGGGAAAAATCAGGTTATATATTCATAGTTCAAATATGTTCTGGGCTGTATTTCCAAGCATCAAATAGGCAGATTCTTTACACAGGCAGTGAGCAAGAATCCTTGTACCAATCACCAAAATAAGCCAGAATTTACTGTTATACAGAGCCTTACAATATTGTATGATTAGCTGCTAGCACCACTATACTTACAAGGTCAGTCAGGCCTATATACAGAATTTCTAATTTGACTGTAAAAATAGACTCTCCATGCTGAAATTAGAATATATAAGGTCTTAAGGCCCCGAGACTTTTTTATAACCAAAACTTGTTTTTTTCTTAGTTACAGGAGAAACAGAAAAAATAGCTTGTTGCTTTGACATTCTATGCTCCAGTAATGAAAAATAGCATGACACCTAGACTTCTTCCTTCAGAAGGCTGCTCTACATTTCATAATCTTCCTGCTGCGCTATTTTGCCATTACAGCCATTGCAGCCTGCGTAACCAACGTTTTCAAGGAGTTTAAATGTGCTTTAGCTGAAGTACTTTTTAAAAAGAACTAAAAACAGCAGACTCAGCAAGGTGAGCCAACTTAAAAGTCAGGTACAACATTTCTCGTGTTCTGAACATTGCTTTGATTACTTGCCTGAGATAACACATTTATTGTTGATGGTTGTAGTGTGTTTCTAACCAGTTGCAGCAAACTGCTCTGGGATGACACGGTACCACCTGCTGGCTGGAAGAGTTAAATGTTTCCAAACCTTAAGTCTTACCAGCGTCCATACATGAGGCACCAGAAATACTTTTTGTAAGTTAACTTGGAAAATGTTTGGGTCAAAGGAATGTTTTAGTGTCTTTGGGAGAATCCTATCTGTGTTGCAACTATATCTGCACAGTCAGCTTCACTGTTTTCCGTTTTTCCTGCTGTGTCATAGCAGAACAGCTATGTGCACACGGGAACTTCACCTCACCATGCAGACATGGGACAGCAAGCTGTACAAACGTGCAGTTTGCCCATATTTGTCTCCAGGAAATCTGACAGAAGACAAATCCCATACTGCTGCTAAATGTCATGTGGTTTGGAAGCCATGCAAACAGTGGGTCATCAGCAGTCTGATGGATGATGCATTTGGAGCAAAAAAAAAACCCTAACTTTGGAGACCAGAATGCTTAAGTTCTTAAAAAATGAGGTAAATCAACCTTACACTGTGGTTGATAAAATTGGCCCAAACAACGATGATGATGCAGATATTCAGATAGCTTACAGGAAGAATTAGATAGCCTTGAGACTTGGAGCAAGAGAAATGGGAGACAGCACAACTTTTAGGTTACAGTGATCAAAGAGGCTTCTCCATCCAAAACACTAGAGGATGATACGAAAACCTGGATGAAAACCATCAAATGGTTCTACCACTGCAAATGAGACACGAGGCTCTTTCACCCATACTGTAACATGAGCAAAAGCACTGGAAAGACTTTTCCTAGGATGCTGGGTGGAAGGACAGCTAACTTGCAGCTTTTCTATCGTAGCTAACCAACACAAGAGGCTGCTAGTGGATTTGGGAGTGCTTTTCAGTAGGAGTGGAAAGGGAATGGAAGAAAAGAACGGAGGAGAACTTCTGTATGCTGAGTTTTACACTGGAATTTGGTAAGTTTGCTTACGACAGCTAGATATGGGATTTAATAACAGAGCAATTGCTAAGAGCCCATCTATTATCACTTAGGCTTACGGAGTCTCATAATTGTTTCACATTATATCCTGTTGGCAAAATCTAACTTCATGTATTCTCTCATTCCAACAGATTTTTTAGCACATCGAGGATGTCCATGATACAATGACTGAAAAGTTGGTCTGAATTTGTAATATATGCATGCCTGTATTAATGTACAGACCTACTCTTAGCCCTGGTCTTGAAAACAGTTGTTTCTATCGATGTTGACAAGACCACAAGGTCCATTTAAAACCAGCAAGTGATTTAGGTAAGAGGACTTCAGTACACTAGCTTGACATAATTTCTTTATCTTTAATTCAGGCTATAGCCCAAAGGCCCATTTGTTCATTAGCATAATTAAAACTAACTAAGGAGTACATGAGCTTAGCTGGGTCAACATATCATTAATCAGGAAATAAACTCTTAAAACATTTGGAAGTCACTGTGTTCAAAGATGCATCTCACACTTCTTATCAGGTAACAAAATTATATGTAAATTTTCAGTCCCAACCATTACTGGTGAACTGCCTGAGTGCATTCACCAAATGGCAATAGCATGGATTAATGAAGTATTGCCTCAACAGAATTAGCAGGTAGATTTTTAGTTGTTAAATTTAAATTGTGGCATGAGTGTGCAGCCTTACTATTTGAATAGAGTCTGTATTTTTCAGTCTCCCCCAGTTAGTGATATTAATTTTATTTTAAATTACACACAGTTCTTCTCCCATATGTCGAAATACAAGACTAGGATTAGTTTAACTCATCTTGCTGTTCATATGCTCACATGGATAGGTAATTATAATGTACCTGAGAAGAACTGAGAACCTCCCCACTTCAACATATCTGGATATTCAGCATAGCTGGCAAAAACAAGCCTGAGTCTGAAGGAGTCAAAATGACTGAGCTAACTTACTATCCATACAAGTACTCTATCTTAGACTACATGAGGGATTATGCAGCTATTTATATTGCTATTGACAGTGTAACCGATTACTGTGGGTAAAGATACTTGCAGTCATCTTCAAGGTTACTAATCTGACAGCTTTCCACACATTTTAAAAGTAGGAAAGCATAGAATGCAAGCAAACACCTTCCTCTTTGGCCTCCATTGGCATTAGAGGCTTTCAGAGCCAAACGCGTTCAGGTTTTGTGCCTTGACAAAATCTCCAGGCTGCCAACTTACTGCATGATTTTCTGCAGAAGAATTCTGCATAAAAATGAACGTTTTATGATGGTCTCATTCTAGACAATCAAAGTGAAAGTCAATGTTTATTAAACTCAGAAGTCGTAAGTAGACTTCCAGTTACTACATATCTCCAAATGTGACACAACTGGATCATGATATGCTACGAATGTATTATACCAAAACACGTAAGAAGCAGTAAGTACACAGTATGTTGAAAATACAGTCAGGAGAGCCATTTGTTTTCAAAACAAGTTGCTATGAACATTACACAAACAGCCAATATGTTACATCCAGTTCTGTTTGCCAAATCTTGCTGCTTCTTGGTAAGGCAGAATGGAAAAGGAAGAGTAAAGGGTGGTGAGTATGAAATATGCACAGAAATCTAACAATGTTATTCAAAATCACATGCTAGTTTGTAACCAAACAAAATGTCGTAAAAGGCACGTGATGAACAGTCCAGTTATTGGAGACAAAATACTGAGACAAAAGGGGAAAGCAGCTAAGAGGCAACAGAATAACAGAGAGGCGATCAGGTTAGCATAATTTCCTAATTGAGGTGAACTCCTTGAGGGTTCTCCTCAGTTTCCAGTGGAATCGATAACAGACTTCTATCGATTTCAGGTGATTATGGCTCAGGCCCCAACTTCATGAGCTATGCATTATCAACTACTTTTCACCTACACTCAAAGGAAGTCTTTGCAAAAAATATTCTTCTGTGCTGATAGCTATTCACTCTTCACAAAAGTGCAGAATCTTTTCCTAAAGCAATTACTAGTGGCTGGCTCATTCAACACATTCTGTCTTGTACTTTGTACTCACTCATATTTGCCTTTTTATAATATACTTACCAGAACCTGTTGACTGCGAAGAAAATCACTGGAACGAACTCCAAGGTCAACATTTTGTTACAATCCAACACACAGCCTAATCATAAAATATAGTGCTTCTAAAAATCTTATATATTTTATACTTGCTGACATCTTAAAACATTTCTTAATTTAATCTTACATATATCCAACTTTATTCACTTACTTAAAAGTTAAAAAAATATATTAAGAGGCTGAAAGTGTTGGCTTTGCTTCTTAAAGGAAATGCATGAAAGAGGTAGAAGACTCAGAAACACTGTGGATGCTCCCGTCAGGATAATATCCAATTGATAATTCGGCTGTTGGCAAGGTATTCAATTGCACCATACAGAATCAGGTGTGTTGTTCTGTAATGGCACTGCTAGGAGCTAGGAATTTGTCATTTTTGGAGAGCTGGAGAATTATAGATTGATTTAACATGGTCCGGTTTTCTTACTGAGTGGAAACGTCCACCTTTGTAGTACAACAGACACCCTTTAGAAGTCTCAGTATTCGAAAGCTAACTATCCATTGATTTGGAAGATCAACATCTCCACGGTAAAAGTGTTGGGATTTTTTTCCATTTTTTCTGGCTAAACTCACTTGTACTCAGTTTATGGCCACCCAAACGTTTCAAGGGGACATCAGAGGCAGCAAGCAGAGCAGTCGAGCACATGGTAAAGGAAACTCCACAAACAAATGAAAAGACAACAATGACACTGGCCACTTGCCCAGCATTGGTATTATCTAGTGCAGTGAAATTGTTAGGTTTCTCATAAGTTACAGTCTCATCCAAAACAGCATCTGAAGTGCTCTATCAGAAATACACAGCAAGCCTTGCCAGAGGACTTCACATCACCACATCCTGAATTGAGCGTTAGAAGTTATTCCCAGATTTCCAGGAAGTTTGTACTGCATTTTACTTCGAGGCTCTGTCTCTGTTGTCCACAGGATCATTCCTGATCGCCTCAGTGTCGGGTTGGGTCATCTCACTCAACAGCGCTTTTTGGCTGCTTCCCCTTATGATGATTTAAGACAAAGTGCCACCGTACTGGTTCCTGCATTCCACCATACAATTGAGATTGTCGGCTACTTAGAAGATAGTACAGATTTTGGTCAAAAACCAGTTTCTGTGACGTGGTTTTACAGTACTGTACTTTCTGTATTTCCAAAGTTGTCTGCTCATGTATTAGAAAATTTGAAGTGTGATGATGTTAGTCATTTTTCTTTAGGCATTTGGCAAAATACACTTATGTATAATAGCTATTTTTGACATTATCAAATGTTTACATATATACAATCTGTATACTGAGATTATAAACATGTAAGGTTAAAAAAAAAAGAAAAAGATATAATCCTTGTTTGTTTGATGTTTAGGTTCAAAGAGTTGCCTTTCAAAGCTTGATATCCTGTAAAAAAAAATCCTATATTTCTTACTCCTGCATGCTGATTTCTACTACAGTATGTTGTTTATCCCTTACATGTGGAAAGTAAAGAACACAAGGTTCATGCACACAGCGTACAAGTTTACATTGGCCAGCTTCTCCTGAGTGCGCGTTCCCAAGGCCGGTCAGCATGACCTGGAGCTGCACTAAGCCAAGGGAAAACCCCAACCCTCTCCCAGGCGGGATGTGGGGTGAGCATGTCTGGTACCGTGCAGAACAGCCTCTTCACGTCCATCTAATGGTCCCCTGGTAGTTGGGATGGTTTGGGTTGTTCTTTACAGCAAGTCTGTAAAATTCTGCTTGATCAAAAAACAAAAACAGAAGGAAAAAAAAGAAAAAAGAGACTGCTTTTTCCCTTCCAGATGAGAGGAGGTTCTCTCTGTGATCACGGGCATCTGTGTTGATCTTTTGAATTGTCTGAAGAGCAGATGAATGTGCAACGACTCAGTGGTGCTGAGTTTGTATAGAATTTAAAGTAAAAAGTTCTTGTGTCATCCCAGGAAAACGGTGCAGCTAAATGGAAGTCTCCCATAGCTGGAGAGGCAAAAAAAGGGACACAAACACACGTTATACGCAAAGACACACAGCCTGCTACCCAAGTGGTGTATCGATTGGCAAGGCAGCCCCAAAGACTGGAAGGCCCCTGCACTGCCTGCCTGGAGCTGCCCATCGGCCCAGGCAGACCCTCTGCTCACTCCATGTATTGGGTATGTTCACACGCATGTCAAGCAGGCCTGGAGCTCCCCATTGAGCACCACTGTGCTGCCCCAGGCCACTCCCTGCCCAGCACAGGGCATAGGCAGAGCCTGCAGCACCCATCTGCAGTGTTCCACTCAGTTGTTTCTCAAATAAAAGGACGGAGAGCAGTGGTGGGAATCGCATCACAAGCTATCGCACACCTGAAGTAAATTTTAGAGGAGTTGTGCTCGTTCAAATATCCGCTGTTTGGGCTGACTGAGAATTTGCACTGCCTCTTGGTAGCCCCTGGAAATCTCATTCCAGAAGTTTCAGCCCACCTTGAGGAGCCCTTCCAGGTCTACCAGGGCCTGATGCATGCCCCTTGCATCCTGCTCAGCTCCAGCTTATTCACCTTTCCATCATGCTGGAAGGAAGCCATCCCCCAGCCCAGATGAGCATCTCTGGCTGTTTCAGACCCCTGGAAGGCCAAGGAGAGGAGCCAGACTGCTCTTCTCAGCCCAGAGGCTGCCCCAGGCAAGCTTCCAGCTTGAAACAGAAGTACTGAAATCTGGGCTTGAGGTGTGAATGCCACCTAAATAAGTGTCTATAAACACAAGCTCCAGGACTGCTCTAATCTGTGCCAGAGGCTCAGCTTTCAGCAGCTGCTTGAGCTACAGATCTGAGGAAACACCAGCTCTGCTCTCACTGTTTCTCAAAGATCTGTCTCACTTCTCTTTTGCAGAGCTACCAGTAAATTACACCAGCAACAAAAATGCAGTGAAGAGGGACACATACCCTGGCACTTTGCCTGTTTGCTTTCTTCTCCTCATCAGGAAGCGGAGGCATTGGGTAAGGGTATTTTCTGCTGGAAGCAATAGATCCAGTGGACGAAGATGGGGACTTTGCAGGAGACAGTGTCCTGAGATGTTGAAACACAAAATAAATGTCATGGCTTCAGGTCCCAGCACTGCAACAGCAACTGCCATTACTCTGAGGCTTGGTTCAGAGCCAAATATGTTGTCTATTACTAGTTTGATATTGGGGGGACAAAGTTCTTTGATCAGTAGTCTAATTATTTCATGACTATAAACAAAGGTATTTATAGCTCTCAGGAACACTGGAGGAAAAAAACAAGATATCCTACTTATTAGAATCATATTGCATATAAAAAAATGACTTTAAACTGATTTACATGCTAATTTAATTAATCATTTTAAAATTAACAGAACTAGAAGACATAGTGTTATGAACCCTAAAGTGAAGCAGTCAGAGTATAAATACAAACTGAACAATGTTTTCTGCAGTGGATGACTAAATGGCAATTATCAGATATTAAGCTTATCTTGTGCACCTCCTATATTGATACAAACATAGCAAATGAATCTATTATCTTACAACAATGCATTAATTTACACATACGCATGCACTTGGAGGCCAAACTGTTAGTTGTGAAGGAACAAAGGCATATACAAAGTGCTAATAACAAATTACTGGACATGCAAGCATCATACAGTGCATATTGTTCCAGCCAAAGAAAGAGTCTGATGAGAATATACAAAAATGGACTGATTAGTCAATGGCAATCAGCATTTCTGTACAAGGTGAGTAGAGTAAGCAAGAGCAAGGAAATGTCTGAATCACATGAAAGGCATTCTTTTCAAGTCAATAAGGCAGCAGCACATTATTGACTGAAATTTTATACCCAAGAAAAAACTCTAATGCTTCTGATTTGAGAATCTGCACTTTTCCCACTTGAGAGGTTCCTATTAGGCTCAAAATCTGGGCAGAATAAAAGGGGAAAAAAAAACAACAACAACCAGAGCTCGAATAAAATGAGAGCCCCCCCCCTTAGCTTTTTGCTCTGTTCTGCAGACTGAGGGCATTTTTCTAAAGAGGCCTCCCGTGAGTGCAGGCACATCTCCCAGAGCCTCCCCGAGCACTGCTGCCTGCTATTTTCTGTGTGTCCCTGAAATGGAAGCACTCCCTCAGTCCCCTCAAACAGACTTCCAATCCCCACACACATAGCAGGGGCTGAGCACCCTTAGGCCCTGGTGGTGAGCATCACTACCAACACCATGGATAGCAAGGAGCCCCAGGGAGCAGCCCTGGCCGACAGCTGAAGGCCTTGCCTCTGGGATCTGTACGATCAGGTCCTTCTGACTAGAGAGGGCTATAGACAAGCCAGAGGATCTTCTGTGTTTGGAACTGTCTTGTACCTTTAAATAATTCTTCCTTTGATTTAGACTACCGCATCGTTTCCTTGTGTCTGTAACTCCCTACAACAGCACATTCTCTTGTCTACCATACAAATAACGATTGATGCCATGGGCAACGAAGTGTCAATGGAAGTTACATGGTGACAGCTCTCCAGTGTGGCTCATGATGCTCTAATGCCTCACGCCATAGCCTCTGAACAGCAATTAGAAATTTGGAGTCAGTACAATTATTCAAATATTGAAAAGCATATCCTTAACACATCACCCATTAAGATGAACTGGACATTTTCAGGAAAAAAAAATTCAATAACTACTGCTGTGTAAAACAGGAAATTCATCTGTCCAGCACCACAAATCTGGGCACCAAACTGCAAAGCAACAGAACAGATTATTTTCAAAGAAATCCAGGGAAAGGTTCTCAGTGGTAACCTGCCCAGTGCTCTGCTGCTCACTGACCTACAAGTTCTCCATCTGTGCCAAATCTGGACAGAAAAAGATCGCTAAAAATAATATTAATGGATATGAATTCAAAAAAAATAAGGAGAGAAGGAAGGTGCAAAGATAAGGCAAGTAGATTCTACAGATTATTAGTGATCTCTTCATTTGTGGATTTTGCCTAACAGCTTCAGCAGGATTTAAAATCTTGATGGGTAAAGTTCTAATGATGCACCTGGAGATTAGAAGCAAAGAACCAAGCATGTTAGCTCTCGCTTGGTAATTCCTATGAGAAAGCTGTTTATCTGTGCAGACACCATGACTGTCTCTTGCATTACCATAGGCTCTTCCTATGGGTAATTTTGGCATCACAAGAGTAGGCTGTGGCAACAAGGAAAGTCACAGCCAATTGACCCCTACATTAACACCAATAGGCGACCCAGGAAGGAGCAACTTCCTCCCAGGAATGGGGCATCTGGAATCTTTCCCTGCAGAGCAGGTCTTCTAAGTGAGACCCCCAGCAGCCTGTAATTTAGACTGTAACTCCAAACCCGAGCAGCAAATTCTAGCCTTGATTTCTTAGAAAAGAGAAGGAAATTGGAATGAGAATCAGAGTTTGTAGAAGCAGACAAATCACCTGTGATAGACCTATGATTAGCTAACCAGATACCAGCTGCCTGACTCTCACTGAACACAAGGTGTGCAGAGCTACTGGGAAAGAGTCCACAAGCAAGCACCTGCAGAGAGCCCAGCTGGATTCATACTGCTGGAGTCACTGCATGGGCCAGAGGAGAGCCATCAAGATGTTAAGAAACCTGGAGCACCTCTCCTATGATGACAGGCTGAGGGAGCTGGGTTTGTTCAGAGTGGAGAAGCGAAGGCTCTGTGAAGACCTCACTGCAGCCTTCCAGTACTTAAAGTGCTCCATCCCTGGAAGCATTCAAGGCCGGGTTGGATGGGGCCGGGGCAGCCTGAGCTGGTGGAGGGCAGCCCTGCCCACAGCAGGAGGTTGGGACTGGGTGGGCTTTAAGGTCCCTTCCAATCCAAGCCATTCTGCAATTCTACAGTTCACCCAACATGTGCTACATACAGCTTTCCACTGCAGTCAGCAGAGGCCTCCCAGGTGACCACCTTAAACTGGCAGCTTTTAGAGCAATATGCCTGTGGTGAGAGAGAAGAATTCTCCTTCTTGATGCAGTAGTGGAATTTTATCCTATGCTGTAAGGAACTAATATTTTAAAGATTAGGAGGAAAAAGAACAAATTGCCCAAAATGGAAGTGCTTTTAAAAATTATCTGAAACCCCTTGCAAACACGATGCTGCCATTTTGGAAGGTTTGGAAGCTCCAATGTAGCTGCCTCCATTTCTTCCTCTCAGCCCCACTCCATGCTGCCCGCTCACCTACAGTCTGCACATGTAATCAATGTGCACGTCACTGCTTGCCTGCATGTGCAATGCGTGCATCCTCCTCGGAAACTTTTCAGGACAAACACATCAAGAATGCAGTTGCACACTTAAAGAAACAACTTTGCCCTCTCCACATAGGCTCTTGACACTTGTTTCTGCTATAGTTAGGCGCTGGGTTTTGTCATCTTTTGTCTCATCTATGGAGACTGTGAGTACACATCAGTAGTCATCAAATGCGTGCCCACAGATCTGAGGATGTGTGATCCTGTGTGACAAATGCAGTTTGGGTTCCTTGATCACCCTTCAGGTTCTGTCCTGCCATTGTGTATGTGCTGTGTATCCTAGATTTATATGTACTTTAAATGAGAAAGAGCCAGAAATGACCTTTCTCATTTATGGGGTGGAAGAAACAGCATTCGGGGACACTTGAGGGTAATGCCAGGGTTAAAGGAAGGTAAAACTTGATGGTTTTGGTCAAGGGAGGGGTCCATTCAGCTTTCATTGGGGTTTCAGTTCTCTTGCTATCACATCCATTAGCTTTCATGCCAAACACTGCTTCCAGCTGACCCTATACAAGAAACTATGAAAGCAGCCCAACCTCCAACAGAGTTTTGGCCACCAACTCTGAATGAAGCCATGCACCTAACACGTTGTAAGGACTTCATTTCTGACCAGGAAGCAAGATGCCACTACAGTGTGTCGGTCTTCCTGTTGTACAAGCTGAAACTAACCGTGTGGGGAGATTGCTGGGGTCCAGAAGATGCTATGGAGCTGCAGGATGCCTGCACATGCTCCTTGTCAGACAGACATCTGCCTGCTCTGCCTTCGCTTATCCTAAATGGGGGAAATCCTGGCACTGTACGCTGTCCCCTGGTCATACAACTAAATGTCTTGTAACCTACAAGTGTCATTTCAGCCAAACTCAAAGCAGTGGCCCTGACAGATCTGAACTGTTGATGAGCTGTGTTTCATAGTCTAAAATAACTTAATGAAATTCACTTAAAAGTCAGCTCAGTGAAAACACTTCAAACTTGTATACATCAGCCTGACCTGACATCTGCTTACATAGGGCAGCTCTGTGTAGAATGTTAGCGACATAAATTAGCCTATGTTAGGAAGTTGCAGTCTCCTAAAACCACTGATGTGGTGAAGCATTTCAGCATTTTAATGCAGTTCCTTCTGGGAAACAGCCACATGTCAGGCTTCTTCAATGAAAGAAGCACACTAATGGGTAAGGAGAGATTCAGCCCTGGGGTGGCTGCAGGAGAGGTGGAGGCTTTGCCTAGAGCCCTCATCCCAAGCACTGCTCAGCTGTGCTCTCAAAGTTAGCATTCATATGCTTTAATGGACTCTTCTGCCTAATTACTGAAATGAAATCCTAAGAGAAAGCGTCTCTGACCAACAGCAGAGCAGCAAGGCTCAGCTCCAGCCGCACATCCCATTGCCAACATCTTTTTGATCTGAGATGACCATTTCTCTTATAGATAATCCATCTAAATAAATATTTTCATTGCAACTTTTTATTTTTAAATATTCCTGAAGATATTAACTTACCCATAAATATTTGCAAGAATTCAAAAGTAGGCAGTGCCTGCAAAGAGATGAGAGAACACCTTCTCATCTCTGCGGTCTATAATTGTATATATGAGCGCTGCATTTGGGGATTCTGATAGTTCATTTTCTGACACTGTTGTAGTTCCTGTGTCTTTTAAGATGCCCCAGATTGCCAGCAACCGTGCCCCTTGCAATAATGCTGAAAGTGGGAAGCAGTTTCCCACCCAGGATTATTGCTGGGGTTACACAGCTATGGTCTGGCATGTAAAATTAACATCTAGCTGAGACTTAGTGCAGGAAAATGAGATTTGTTGAGCTCTTCCTTTTCTATAGAAGAAACTCTCACAGCTGGGAGCTTTCTAGCAACAGATCTACTATTATTATCATTAATAAAAAGTAATTATATGAAGATTCCCATTAGACCAAAAAAATTTAATAACTCTTTAAATTTAATAACTAGGGCACCAGGTATCAGGGAAGCAATTTTAGATTTATACAGATATTTCTTTTTTTTTTTTTTTAAGCTGATTGAGAAAGTTTTTTTGATACCTTCTGTCTCTATTGTCTGAAAATGTGCAGATTTCCTTGGAATTGTAGGAACTGCTTTTGGTTTTTCCTAAGTCTACTTCAGGTTCACCTACAACAGCACCAGTCATTAAGATATTCACAAAATTACAGGGAAACAAGCAAAAGAGCAGTATTCCTTTCAGACCCCCTTAAAGGAAAAGATGAATCAAAGATTCAGAACAAAAAATACCTCCAGGCTGATGATCTGATGTGAGAGCCTTAGGCTGTGATTCCTAAAATGAAGATCATCTGGACAGCTTGACTTCAGCCTGACTTTCTGGTTTTCTAAACAAGATTTAGTTGTGTTGTTTTTTTTTTTTTGTGAATTATTTCAAAGATCAAAACCCAACTGTGTGACGTTCTGACATGCAGCTCTAAGGAACAGTAAATTCCTACCAACCACAGTTTAACCTAGATCACACCTGAGCTCTGGGAGCACCATGCGGTGTAATCTCTCAAAAACCCATGGCAACTCATCCCAGGAGATTTGACCCTTTGCCTTCCATAATATCCCTGCAGAACAGCTCTCTACGGTTACCCTCAGTTAATTAGGACACACAAGTTTCTAAATATATTCTAGCTTCCCTCCCATTTCTAAAGTTACTGCTGCAGGCAGTCATTAGTAAGTTTCTGTGGAGCAAAACTGTTAATTTAGGTTTCATCTCTGCTGATACAGAGCCCTAAAAACTCACATGGGTCAGCTTAATCCTCATCTACACACACTGAAATGTTTGGTTTATCTCAAATGCAATTAGAAATGTGAATCATTCACTGCAACAGGGAAAACCTGCAGGGCCAGGGTATGCTCCCATCAGTTTAACCTGGTTACTAAATCAAATATCAATGCTAAAAAATGAAAACTGAATTAGGAGTACGCACCCAGGAATTTGAACCTGTTTAGCTAAATCAATTAAAGTGACATATTTTAAACTTCCAGTCTTTATAGTCTTGCACTGTCTTTGTCTATTGCAGCCAGAGGGCTTCCAGCTATGAACACCCCAAGAGGCAGCAGTGAGGTGAGGTCATGGTGGGAGGCTGACTGCCTTGCCTCAACAGCACAGATCCAAAGGGCGTTCGCAGGAAAAGATCTTCTTGCTCATAAACACTTCATTCCTAGCATGAGTTTGCCTAGTTTCACCTTCCAGTGAATGCTGATCATTATCAGTACTGATCTAAATGCCCATCAAGGTTTTGCTCCATGTGCAGATACGTGGCATTGCTCATACTCATACATACTGTGGCATACCTCATTGCTAACACTATCACTGGGCTCACAATCACCTGCTCAAGTGTCCAAGCACCAACACCCTGACCTGGTCGATGCTGATGAGCACAGCCACAAAATCCTCCCTGAAAACTGGAACTCCTGCATCAGGGATTGATACTCAGGGCTGGCAGGCTAAAATTCACCTCATCTGACCTGATGGCTTTTTGGAACACTTCTCTGCAACTTCCTCTGCAATTTAACAACTCTTGAAAGCAAATGCAAATGATACATAAAAATGACTATTTAAAGCTCTGACAGACTTCAAGGGATTTTCAGTTCTAAAAGTGACTAAAATCCCAAGTTGCTATTTAATACCTTCCAGTGTAACTATGAGAATAAAAGTGCTTCATTAACATCTTGCACTACAACCCCATCACATTTTTCCCCCAAACAAACACCAGACACAGTGAATGTTGCTGCCCTTTTGCACTATTAGTAGGCCCCACTCCTGTGTCACAATTACCATTAAATTTCTATTTATTCATTCTTACTATCCTTCACCGTTTCAGCTAAAAATTGCATATTTTATTCTTTGCATCTCTACAACTTGTTTGAGCCTCCTGTTTGATAGCTTACAGTGCTTTACATCCTTTGTCACAACTGTCTTCCATTCTCTATGCTAGCTGTATTTTTTTCAGCTGATATAGACTGCTTGCTCAGTGGCAGGATTACATCTCTGGGAACACAGACTTGTGATTATGTACAGCATGAAGGCCAGCCTCATGCAGAATTCTCTTTAACTTGGAAGGTATTGAATACACGTTTTCCTTTCAAAAACAAGGGGTTTGGGGAATAGAACCCTACACTCACTTGTAACAGATTCATTAGTTGTTTGATAAGCAGAGCACAGAGTATATTCTCATACATTCATTTATCCAATCACAATGCTAATTATTTCATTGTATGGTGAGGGTAAAATACCACTACTTTTTTGTTTTGTTTAAATTTTAGTATGCACTATATAAGACAGTGGGTAGAGTGAAGGTGTTACGTTTGCTTCAGTAAATTAAATTCTATTTAAGTTAATACTACTTTATTAGTGATAAATACATCTCATGCCCATAAACACTACTTGGCATAAAATGATGAGAAAGCTACTACAAGCTACAGATGATGGTGGGAATGCATGCACTACACACACCCTTTTCAATGGCTTCATTAAAACATTCAGTAAAAGAATTGTAAATTGCACATGAAGCCAAAAACAGACATCAAAATGCAGCAAAAGAAGAGGGGCCCTTTGCACCTACAGTAACTTGTATTGATTTATACAAGGTAGGAGTCTCAAGATATTTGTATATGCTGGAACAGCTCTTAAAAAAGATATAGAATTAATTTACAAAATACCTAAAGTATGGTCCTTCAGTGTTTTTATTCACATCTTCTACCCACTTAGCTACATTATATTCTCTTTTGAACCATGGGTTTAAATACCTGCAGAAAGCAATGGAAGGAACAGAGAAAGCAGAAGAACAAGAATAGAAAATCTGAGAACACACAGCACAAGCTTAGCAAGGATGTCTTCATCCCCAAAATGCAAGTGAATATGGCAAATCAATCAGTATGGATGTAGGGTGAGGACTAGGTAATGTGTACAACTGCATGAGAACCCCTGGCAAGACTGGCATGTTTGGTTTATCTGGAAATTCTATGAAAGGATACATCACTCATTTTCTCTCCTAAGGGCAAAATTCACTCCTAGACAGAGGGCCAGCATTAAGCTCTTGTTTTCAACTCCTCTCATGATCTCAAAGTAAGGCTGAAGGGGCATTTGGGCTCCAGTCCTACATTTTTGCCCAGTTGCACACACAGGTTTGTACCCATCTAGAGCAAATTGCAAGACAATGGCAAAATGAGTATGGAAACTTGGCTTGGCCCTTCTACAGGAATGAATTTCAGCCTCAATACGTTGAAAGGCTAGACTTGCTTGCCAATGTGGTGGCAGTTTTTGCATTTGTGTGCAAACAAACATTTGATTTTATTATTGTTTCCTGTGATAGGACCACAAGAAGCTTTCAAGGCGGTGGGCTGCAGGGCTATCTCCCATTTTACAGAAGTAACCTTGACACCAAAACCACCTGTTTTAGTAAAACATGCCTGAGCTACATACTCATATTAGCTACATGAAAACTAGAAATAAAGATGGTGTTTAATTATTTGACAATAATGTTACTAGCAAAGAAGATAACTTTTTTTGACTGGTTTTTCTTAACCCTCCGTACCACGTTGAGGGAATTTCTCCCTTTTCATGACATTAAGAAAAGAAGGGCAGCATAGAAGCAGCAAACTGTCTGGTCCAATTTAAATCTGGTTTTGCTGTATAAGAATGGTAATTATCTGTAACCACCACCTTCATTTAATGGAGATTAGCACACTCTGAAACAGGAAATAACTTGTAACCAAGGGAAAGGGGGAAAAAAGAATCTTTTTAAGTTAGTTTTGGTACCTGGGGTCAGTTCTCACCATCCTTACGAAAGGGATTCCATTGACCTCGCTCATGGGAACAGGCCTGAGAAGGGACTGTTCAGGTGGGGTTTGGTGGAGCCAGACCATGCCCTTTAAACCTGCCCATATTTCAGACCACGTCAGAGACAAAAGCAGCGGCACTTTCTGACTGCTTAGGCCTCCTTTTTGGCTCTGGAACTTCTCCCCACCCCGCACAAGCGCAGCCACAGCTTTCCAAACGTTGTCGCCCTCAGCCACAAGTGCTCGCTTCTAAGTAGCTTCCTCAGCTAGCTTACTGATAAGGAATCAGGAGTGCTTCATGCTTTCCAGCTCTGCCTCTTAGGGAAAGAAAATGTCAAAAAAAGTAGCACAGCACGAGAACTGCAAGTGGAGCCACAGGCTGATACCAGCGTCATCAGGAACTAATAGGTTTGGGTTTTAGCATTAACTATGTGCGACTACATATGTTCTTGGAAAACAGACATCACTGCAGTACTTTTGACTTGATTTTTTCATTTGAAAGGTTCTTCTGGTAACCATGAAACACTCCCAGTCTGGCTCCCTGCATTAGAAAACCAAGTTTAGAGTGGTATCAAAGCATGCAGCGGTTGCACCACCATGTGGCGGGGTTCCCTGTTCCAGTTGTACCACAGGCCATTGCTCACCACCCCATTCTGCCTGTTACAGAAGTGTTGAACCAGGTAACTCACAGATCACTAAGTGATCCCACTAGTAAGCTCTCAGGCTGATCTTCACGGCCACATCGTTAGTGAGGGCCAGAATCCGCATTTCCTTCGAATGAGAAGTTTCCCTTGAAAACCAAGGTGTTCTTACACATAAGCCTACAGCTCAACCAACAGCTCCATTTGGCTTGCAGCACAACATGCAACAGTGCAAAGACCTGGGCTGGGGACACTGGTACCCTCGGGCTGGGAGGAGGAAGGCCAGCTAGCACGGCGGCAGCAGGAGCACCTCAAAGCAGTCACCACGTCTAGCCGCAGTGGCACTGGGGGATACTGAGGAAAAGGGACTGTCAGGGGGTAGAATGCAGCCCAGAGCGCAGGGGCAGGTGAGACTGACCTGTGATTCTGGCTCCCTGTTTGGGGGGGGTCAGAGCCCTCTGGGCTTATGCCTTGGGACGGGGTTGGGTGGGCGAAAGAAAGCCCAGGCTCAGATGCATGGGTTACCCTGCTGCAAAAACACAATATATAATAGAGAGTCTAAGCCAAAAATGTTTGCATCAGTTATAACAACGAGGAAGATAAATGCTTATAGGAAAAGCAGTGCGAACTAACAGAGAGCAGAATTGCTATTTGGCAAAGCACACATTTCCTGGGACCTGTTTTAACACATGCTCCCAGTTAAAATTCAGCTTATTCAAAAAACTTTCATTGTCTTTCTTGGATACCTCTAATCAGTTTTATCAGGCCATTTATGAAAAAGCTGCAGAAACATTTAGCCTTTTGGCATTGCTTCTGTGTGAACTGAACCACTTGGCTTTAATGAAGAATTTTGCTTTAAAACACCTAGAAACAATCTAATGCATCCCAAAAGAGCTTTAGCAGTCTCTGCAGAGCCATACTCCCAGCAATGCCCTGTGCCATGGATCTGCTGTGCGCAAGGGGATGCACAGAGGTGTCACCAGGACACATTTCAGGAACAGTCGCATGCAGCCCCTCTGTCAGTGCTGTTCATGAGGGCTGCACAGCCCAGACTTTGCTCAGTGCTTAAAAGAATGTCATTTAAATGACCAATGGCACATTTCTCTGTTATCTGATGCTGTATACAAAAAATGTTGTGCACAGTATGTGCAATTGCTACAGACCAATGAATACGTCGGATACTTTTGTAAGCAAGTGTATTAGTCTGCATCTGAACATTAAAAAAAAAAAAGAATTCTGCACAAGGTATGGCACAAATGAATGCATTCTTCTAGTGGGAGATCCATTTCTCTCTGATACTAACAAGAGACAAACAGCATTCCTCCCTGTTTTCTGTCTCAGTAAGTATTCTTTGGAAGAGCAGGGCTTTAGGTGGGCTTTCTGTTTCAAAACAGATTTTAAGATTACTCTGTTTCCCAGAGAAGATAAGAAGGTAAATTTGGGAAAAACCACCACGTATTCTGAGGCATCCTCAACACAGCTGACGTATTTATTTTTTATGGATATGTTGGCCACAGTTAAGACTTTCCTCTGTCAATTTTCCCTTCTCTCAGAGCACATTATCTCACTGACCAGACTGCTGTGTGCCTTGGGCAGTTCTCTCTGTTCCCCACTGAATCTCACAGCACATCGTGGGCGCAGTGAGAACTCTGTAAGTGACAGGTTTGCCAAGGAGACTCAGACAGTCTCATGCAATCCAGGACAGGCCCCATCAGAAAGAGCCTCTTGTCTCTGCAGGACAGAACGTGCAGTGCTACATCTCTAGCTGGGGCAGCACCAGGGGCTGCTGCTGGGATGAGAGGCACAGAGAGAAGCAGGAAGAACAGCTGAGAATTAGGTGGGAATTTAGGAGCACTTTCAAAAAAAGAAACAAAAAACAATGGTGTTGGGAAAAAGATTTCTAACTCACACACTGTCTACCCAATTATTTTGCACTCTAAAGATCTTGGAGCAAATGTATAGCAGCTGAGCAGCACAGAGGAAAAAATATGCCCGAGGATTTTTTTGGCTTTCACTGAAAACTATGTTCTTCCCACACAATTTTGTTGGGATAAAAAGAGCTGCTCTGGTCTTATTTTTTATGGATCAAATCCAGCTCCAGTTTGCAACTCTGCTGAGCAATAGAATAATGACATAATTAATTTAACCATGTTGTTTTTATAAATCTTGCTTGAGAATTCAATTAGAAAATGAAGAAAAGCACAGGACAAGCTTCTAAAGAAGAACTTCCAATCTTGTTTTGGTCAGATTAATTTCACTTTTATCAAACTGGCTCATATGAGGAGAAAAGAAAACGAGGAAAATAATATTCCTTTAAGGGCTTATCAGCACTAAAACCAAGAGCACAGGGGCACTTGATAAACTTCTCTAAAGGGCATGGGGCTAATATTTCTGGTTCCACGTGACCATTTTGGCCATGTAATGCGATAATTACTTTGTGCATCAAACTATTATTTCTGTAGTTTGGAAGACAGAATCTTCTGTGTGAACGTTTCTAAGCCTACTTGATTCAAGAAAGTTCATTGCAGGTGGAAGAAAAATTTCAGAACAAACTTAACTCCCCAAATCGCAGAAAACAGGGCTCAGAGAGGTGACAGCAGTACTAGTTCCAGCAGGGTTGGCATCAAGCCTGCTTGCCCATACAGGTGCAAAGTTAGTACTAATGGTATGAGAAAGGGCACTGTCATTGCTGTCATGGTCACAGAGGGGTCATTTCTGTGGAGTGTAAGTGCTGAAAAGCCAGCCAGTGCTTGACACGCCTAGAGATGATGCTTCCAGCCATTCCCCATTCAGTCATGAAAGAAGCCTGAACCAGTAGGATTAAGTAAAAGGCTCTTTCCCCGTGGGAAGCAGTGAATTCATGGGCTCTTCAGTAAATGTAACTACCACATCAATATAGAACACCATATAAGTCATGCTGTAGGGGTCTGTGGATCAGCCACATGGTAAGGACTGCCATGGCGTACTCAAGACTGGCTCTTTCAGTTTTTGCTAGCTTACAACAATGAACTGAGACACTCTTAGAGAAGATACCTCCCCTAAAGACTCCAGGCAGGTTCACAGAGATACGAATCGCTAACTCTGCAATGGTCCAACCCAAGGTGAAGACAAGGGTAGGAAATGAGTTATCAGAAATTCAATACTGAACCAGGATACACTCAGCAATGGCAGTTTACTGTAGATAACGGGCTGTAGTGATGGTGCAGGCTGCCACCATCATAGGGAATTGCTATGGGAATGACTGTGAGAATGCCTACACAAAAAAAGAAAATTGATAGATAACTTGTTAAAGAATACATAAAAAGAGGTTGAAAGCCAAACCATTACCAGATCAGCCATTATCAGTCAGCAATCAGAATGGGCCACAGGGCAAAAATGCTTCTGTCTACTTTTCATTACTCTTTGTCTTGGTCTACAAAACAGAAGTATGAAAACTGTACTTTCAGGCTTTGCTGTTGTAAATTCAGACTTACTCAGTTGAATTAGACCGTGGCCTAAATCTTTTGCCTCTGACTTTCTTTCTGTTTCCTCCTATATTACCTGAAAGAAATCAAAGGATAAATACAGGTGGTAAAATATCTTGAAACCAACCTATATTCCATTCCAAACTGTATATTCTCTTTGCATCCCCGACAAGTCACTAGCTATGACCATTTAAAAGCCATAAGTCAGTCTCTTTTGAATTACGTCAGACTGGGAAAACTTAATATTTAGGTGATCTTCCACTACTTTCTGTTGCAACTGTACAGAGCTGAAAACTATTTAGTTTCAGCATTCACTTGAAAAAAATCACTTCAAGAAAAAAAGATACTGCATAATAAAAATCATGAAAGCTGGCAAAAGTGAAAGGACCTCTTGAACTCTTTCATGTTTACTCACATTGGAGAAATAGCAGAAATTAGATCCAATTTTTATGTGATAAAGCTTGTGTGGGGCACTGCTAAATCCTAACTCCAGGTTAGCAATAGGCAAAATTTTAAGGAGTCATGCTGCTCTCCTAAGATTACCTAAGCATTCAGAGAGCAGCAATGGCTTCCACTGTGACCAGTACAAAGGTTCACACTTACCTTGCCAAGAATTACTCCTAGGCCTCCCATTTTCACAAATGTCTGAAATATGCTTTGTGTCTGGTATCCTTTCACTCCAGGAATGAGATAATCCATTTGACCTGGAATAGGAGGGCTCAGATGCAGTTACTGTTACGGGTGTATCCTCAACACAAATGCTAGCTCAGCTGTTCAGAGACAGCCACATTGCCAAAGTCAGTGTCATAACACAGCCTAAGGTCTGTCTGCACTAGCAAAACTGGTCAGAATAGATGGCTTATTTCTTAAGAAGTTTTGCTTAAAAGATGTATTTCTGTGCTTTGTAAAAGTCTGAACACTCTTGTGTTTTTCCATCTCTGCTCTCCACACAGTGCGGGCATCTGACAAATGCTCTTCAGTTTCCAGAAGATAAGGCTAATCACAGGCACACTGAAGTAAGCTCAGGGCTTTATTAATGCTTTATTAATTCAAACTTATATGAAATATAGAAGATCTGAGAACTGACAGATCCACTGAGAGATTCGGTAATCATTTTCTCCTCCTAAGCATCCTCAGGTCCAGGAGTGGCTTGCTACGTACTGCCTTTGCTGTCTGCTATTTCACAACAACAAGAATTATTATAAATTTATACTTTTAAATCTTTGAATGCCTGTGAATACTAACTAACGCTTCACAGGTTTTTCCAGCAAGGAAAAGCCCAGGAGGCTGATATCTCAGTCATGTGAACACCTGTGAAGAGATGCCATCAATGTTTCCATCCAGAGCAAATCACAGCCCACTTGAAATAATGCAGGAAATAGTCCCTGGGCATTGAAATGGTAGCACTGTGACAGGTCCAGCACAATGTTAATGGAATATTTTTCAGGTTTGCTTTTTTGGACTTGACAGTAGCACAAAGTATCTGAACTGGTGGCAGGCAACAAAAAACCTCTCTAGTACAGACAGACCTTAGAAATCATTAGCTTTTCAGAACAAATAATAAACAAAACACATGAAAGAAATGGAGTGTGAAACAAAGATACAGGACAAAAGATGAAACACCTTGAATGACATTCATTTTAAAACAAGTATTTTTCTTAGCTGGAATGCAAGCCTGCTTACACAAACCTATACAAAAATCTGCTTTTCCAAGACTTCTTTTTTCAAAATTTTCAAAACACCCACACGAGAAAAGATTCTCCAACACAAACACTGTACCATTTAAAGTTAATTTTTGCTCCTGGAAACAAGTAACAACTCATAAATCTAAAAAGCTGAATTTAAAAATTGGAAATAATTAATTACATACTACCACTGTTTTCTTAATAACATATTTATTAGACACATGGAATTAAGTTGCACATAGTTTCAAGCCGATATACCTCATGGCACTGCAAATGTACCCCTTCCATATATTTCTCCTTATTTTCTTCAAAAACAGCACAAAGAGAATGGCTTTGTCAACTGCACATGGAGCTACTGACTGCTCACTGAGACAAGAACTGAGATTGCAGTTGACTTACAAAGCGGTTCAAGAATGTCTATCTCTGAAAAGACATTCACAGCTTCTTATAAATTGTTTTACAATGCTGGCCGAAGATTTTCTTAATTAAAGCATCTCTGACTACAGAGGGACTTAAAACATCATAACCTCAGGACCTCAGCAATTATAGAGGACTCACAATGTTTTTTAATGAATTTTCCATTTTTAAATACTTACTTTTTGTAAATAGAGCAATAGCAGAATAAGTGAAATCTGTGAAACAGTGGAAAAATCTAATGCCCTCTTTGGTTACTCATAGCAGCAAGCAAGAAACTACAGAAAGTCGTTGCGGAATCATTTTTAAGATAACTCTTGGCAGCCATTTAGTACATTAGTTCAGTAAGTGAAAGTGGAATAAAATGTAAGTACCATCATCCTTACTATGAGACAGCAAGGATAGTATTCAGAAGTCTAGGTCAACTTAGTGAATTAATCACACCAACAAATAAAGGTATAAAAAGAATTTACATTTAGTATTATTGAAGCAAGACATTGTTCCTTTTCTTTGATTACATGACAAAGATGATAAAAAGTGTTTTTAACTTAAATATTTTTTATTCAGCAATTATTACTGTAGTCTACTTGAAAGCAATTTTCAAGCAGGAAAATGATGAAAATTGGACTGCGCAAATTTGGTTTCCATTGGAAAACATGTTTATTCTGGCCTAATTGTAATAATTAGTAGCTCAGGACACGTGAGAAAAATCAGTAATCAAAGCACAAAGGATGCTAACCGTAACATTCCACAAAGAAAGAAGAAAGAATCAAACCTGCTGCAAAACAATGAAATGTTCTGACTAATGGAATAATGGGTGATGGAACAGGTAGAAATCTGAAAATGCGACAGAAAAGCAGACCTCTTCTTAGAACTAGATGCAGAGTTTGTGCTGACTCCAGGAGGCATGTCGCTATAGAAAGAGTCGGCCTCTCCGGGCTTTTTTACATAATCTCCCTGGGGTATTTGTCTGAAGCATAACAAACATCGGAGAGTCAGAGAACATGGCAGGCATGAGCACGCAGACAAATGCACACAGATATCAGTTTTAAGGAAAGAGACAAGGATCGTGACCCTCGAGGAAACCTGTTAAACACATACATTCAATCTATAAGAAGTAATTCAACTACCCAAGAGAAAACTTCTGCATATTTCTGACAGTTCAGGAAAGGGAATGATGTGGTTTTAAGAGGGAAAAGCAAGGAGCACTTCACTGATAAATTCTGATCACTGTTTTTAAAGTTGGTGGCTCTTGGGATGGTGGATACCTAAGCTCAGACATTTCAAGGTCTCATTGTGAGGGCTGTGAAGGGCACCCCTGGCAGAATGCAAGCCTGAGTCAAAGAGGAGTTCAGGAAAAGCGAGAGTGTTTTTCCCTCTGGATGATTACTGAGATAGATGCCTTCTTTTCCGTTTTTGTGACTGCTACTGAATTCAAAAATAACAATAATGAGTTGTTTAAACTTCAGGAGGAAAAAGATCTCCAGTTCACTGATTATCCTCATGTCCAAAGGAATTTATGCCAGCGCCAGTGCTTCTCAGCTACTACTGATCACCACTACAGATTCAGTCTGCTGAGACATATAAAAGTAATGCCATACAAATTTCAGAACAGTTCATCCTTTTCTACTGCCAGAGGTGTGGTTTTGGTCCACAAAACAATGCGTTAGGAATTCTCAATCAAGTTATGCCACTTTTGTTCAGGCAGTAAATTGATTGCCAGCTGAAAAACTCCAATCTCAATATTCCAGTTACAGTTCCACCAAGCCAGAAAATACAAATTGCTCATCTGAAAGCTGGCTACATCATAATACCAGCAGTTCAATTATCCCTGCACTGTCCAAGGATTTTTGGCTTCAGTTTTCCCCTATCAAGATGCACATTTATCAGAAGATTGATTCATCCTCAGATTATGTCCAACTCCAGACTGGAACTGGTGTCTCTTCATTCCGGATTTGAATTTATAATGGTCCTGAAGTATTTGAAATATGAAATCACTAATGTACCACTGTACTTGCATGTTATTTCTCTAACAGTTCTTGAGTTCCCATTCTTCAGCCACTACACCTTTTCAGTACTGACAGAGTATGCACAGTTCTGCTCCCCAGGGCTCCTCTAGCAAAGTGCTCTCTCACTGCCTGGTCAGAAATAGCTGCTCCCATACATCCACCTTATCCCACAGACAGAATCCTTGCTAATTCACTCCTTTTGTGACTTTCCAGTTCATTGTTTCACTTAGCACTATCAAATACTATTCCTTTAGTAATGCCTCTTTAAGTAATATCTCAATGTCTTGTTTTCATCTTTATTTAAGGACTAACAATAAACAATTTTTAAAAAAGAGACGCTGAGGTAGATGCCTGTTTTTAACGCTTGTGGGGCACTCTGTGTACATATCCAAAATAATTCTATTTAGAATAGACAGTTCCACAGAATAGTTCTACAAACTTCATTTTCTTCATGAAGTATCTCCATCCCTCCATCACCTCCAAAAGCTGTAACCTATACTGGTTTCTCTCTGTTCATGCCCACAGACATAGCTGCAAACTGACCACATCCTTAGGAAATGTGAAAAACATGAGATTCTCTAGCATTCCAGTGCTATTCACAGGGGGTAGTCTCTTCCCATACTTAGAGGTCCCTTCTGTCCTCTGCCAACAACAGAATAACTCAAAGGCTACGTATGTGTTTGTGGATGCAACATTCACCACTTAGCACCACCAAACTGCCAAATTCTTCCTTCCTTGTGCCTGGTGACATTTCCTACCTGCCAGTCCAACCATAATGCTTGCTTTGACTTCTTCTAGTCACTGTTTCTGTCTTCTCTCTGAGCTTGTTGTGCACAACATAAAGCTACCAGCACTTTGCAGAGTTTTTCTGCTTTTTGTATTTTAAGTCTGGCAGAGAAAGCACTACACAAGCAGAGGAGGAGGAGAACAACCACAACAGGTAGCAGCAACACACAAAGCAACAGCTTGGATCAGGGGCTGGTAACACGGGCAGAAAACAGGAGAATTTGAGAAAATGTTTCATCTGCAGAGGCCTGTGAGAAGCAGCAGATCTCCTTCCCAGATTGCTTTGTGAAGCAGATGATGGTGGTCTTCTGGGAGCTGAACCCCAAATCACTGTTTGAGTTCCGGCCACCAACTTCAAGTGTAAAAGCTGAGGCCTCTTCTGAAGCTGGTGCCATGATTTGGCTACAAATACATCAGCAGGGTGGCTGTAGGGAATGGGCTCTCCTTTCACACACTGATTTAATTGCACAGTACTTTGCATTAATTGCAAAGAAGCACTGGAAATGAATTTGTCTCAGAAGGCTCCTAAATATTGTGTGAATATTAATTATTCAATCCTCAGATCTCAAGGATAATTTCATCCCTAATAGCAGATTTTCAGCCTTTTACTGGAAATACTCTCCTGTTTTCCTAAAATGCTCTAAGAAGTAAACATTACTTTTGCTAACGAGTCCAGTGAAATTGAGATTTCAAGCAATGTGTACAGAATCAACATTAATTTTATATATTCAAGTAAATATTTTTTAAAATATGACAATTCATCACCCCTATATTTTCTTTGCAGCATGTAAATGAGCAAGAAAAGATATTTTCAGAATTTTCTAGAAATACATTGCATTACTTTTATCACATACCTCTGTCTTCTGTAGTTTCTTTCCATAAAAAAAGAAGAGAAAGAAATATGTTTACATTATCAGTATGCAGGTACACGTAGACAGTAAAACATACACAGAAGGGAAATTTTGCTCAAAATTTTTCAACAAAATCCAGTTCTGAAATAAACATCATCATAAACAAGAATAAACAAGGAAAAACACTCATGTTGACGGAAGACGTCAGCACTGACCTGAAGTGCCCTTCATGACAATTTTCAGTCTATTCACTGCGGTGCTGCTGATGAATGGTGCCCTTTTGCCCTCCACTTCCAAAAGCGAATCTCTCTGGCTAACCTCCAAACTAGCCCTTAACTTCTGGAGCTGTACTCAGCATAGAAGCTCAGATTTTCAAATACCTCCAGCAGCTAACGTTGAACTATCATGGCAGCATAACCTGTCCTTTTACTATCCTAATCCTCTGAGCTTTTTTTCCAAAAAAAGCCTCTTTCCTTATGTATTCCTGGCTGCCCTCAGCCTACCTCAGAGTAATGCTGGGGCAGGGGACATGCCAACTTGTAATGCCAAACCAAGGGGCTGTGTCCTGGCCACAGCACTGCCTGCAGTGCAACTTGCCTCAAGAGCGCACGGAGGAAGGACTCTGACAGTCACTCTCACTCAAACACCAGTGGCTAAACAAGCACCTGACTTTTTGTAATGTATGCAAAAGAACTGCACTTTTCTGGTTTTAAAAGAAATTCACAAAAGGAGAAATACTGAAAAAGAGCAATCAGATTAAAACAATCCACTTTGACCTTCAGTGAGCAGAGTACTTACAGTTCTACATCAGGAAAGAAGTCACAACTTATTTACACACTGCAGGTCTTTCTCACAAAAAAAATACGTTTGAATTGATTTGGGGTTAAGCTGACTGAAGACAAATATCTGTTTAGGGAGACCTAAGGCTTTACTGTCCGAAGGCAAATCTTTCTAAATTTATTCTGTCATTAGGAAAGATTTGTAAATCAATCAGACTGTAATCTGGCATTTCCTTAGTTAGATGCAGTAAAATTACAATCTGGCCATTTCCAATAATAAGGAAAAAAAAAAAAAGAAAAAAGAAAAAAAATCTTTCAAACCTGGACCAAACCCTCCAAAAGCAAAATCACATATGCATATAAGAATCCTCTGAGAAATGCTAACACTACAAAAAATGATACTGTACAAATATAATCAAATCTGGATTTCTTCAGATGATGTTTGAATTGTTTCTATCACAACGTAGCCAATTATCAGATTAAATAAGCATATTTTAACTAAATTAAGAAGAATACAATTTACTTACTTGTAACCCCACGCAGTTATCCCTAAAACGAGAGCCAATACTAAAATGGTGCCAGCAATTGCCCCTATTATTATGTTTGTGCTAACAACACCTAGAAACACAAGAAAGGGGAAAACAAAATGCACTTTCAGGATAAAATATACAAGAACAGTAAATTCACCATCTCTCAAAAACCTGCTTGAACAACTTGCACTCAGATGACTAATTGTAACCAGCAATGCCATCTTGAAGTATAACACGGCCATCCAAAGCTCTTTTGTATATCAAACTTTGAGTTCTATCTGCTTCACGTAACTGAATGCTTGCTACTTGGAAAAGTTGTGCCAGGTATACCAACATAATGTCATCAATACTAAACCACTATATTGCAATCACATCACCTGTCTAGTAAACAAATACTTACATTGGAATAAAATGGACTTTTTGTTTAAAACTTCCTCATTGCTGAATAAAGTAAAAAAGACCAGAAATGGCATTCTGGGAGACAGTAAAACTGCCCCACAGAGCAATTCCTAATGACTATATAAAACATTTACACTCTCATTTTTCTCCAATTTATCTTCTTGTATGCAAGTCTCAAGAGGAATAAAACTCTCACTCAAAAAAATGTAAAAGACTAAAATTTTGTGTCAACAATCTGCATGTTTCCATGTAATAAAAAATTGACTCTACAAACAAAAATGACATGTAAGAAACTATATCTTTCCACCAGGATACAAAAACAAGTCAATTTTTGTTTGTCCTAACCAATCAATCACTTAATCAGGTCACTGAAATGTCTGGGGCAAGCAAAGCACAACTAGATGCACTGGTGACAGTCACAAGTGCTGCACCAAATACTCATGAATGGCACTGACAGTGAGTGCTTCTGCTGAACAAAGAAGAAAGGGGATGAGGCTCCTACCGGTGCATCGTGTTGCATGCTGGCGGGAAGAGTCAGAGAGCTAGTTTTGCTTAATGAAACTTCCTCAAATCCAAGCTTTACTAATTTTTGTTAAAAAATTATAACTACATACCTTTGTTGATGGCATCTTTATAAAAAAATACATCATCTTTGATTCGAGAACTGCAGTCATCTCCTCCCCAGAATCGGTCACAGACACACTTTATTTCATTGCTACAAACCTGCAGCCAAAAGTGCCATTCAGAATCAAATAATAAAATTAATCTATTCCCATAATTAAACTACAGAATAGGTACAGTTAGATGTGCCAACTTTAACTGCCTGCAAAATTTTGCGTAACGTTTTTAATATACTGCAATTTTTAATTTATGTATTAGATATAAATATATTAAACGCATCATTACTCTTTATATATGTATTATATTGTAATATATTATGTAATATATCACATAGTGGGAGATACTGAGTACATTAATAGATTTTTAATTCAATGTATATTTAATAGAGCCATCTAAAATTGCTTTAGGAGACTCAATTATTTTTTTAATATGAAGTAGTGGTTAATTTCAGATAATAAAGGGAGTTCTCATACAGTGCAGGAGACAAAAGGCATTAAGAGAGAACAGTTCCTTTGATCTCAGCCAAGCCACAGGGACCTGGACACTCTTTCAAACTGCATGAGGGACAAAGAGATTTGCCAGGGCCACAGCAAAACCATAGGCTCTGCACTGACCAAAGACACTGACCATGAGAGCCGGGAGCCAGTTCACTACTCCATTTTCTGGTGGGAATTAACTCTCAGCCAACAAAATCAAATGACTTTATGAATTTCATTGGCTGTTGACACAACAGAAGTAATTAAAGAGAGCATTTGGAAGAACATAGCCCCTCCTTTCTAAGAAATGGGCAACAAAACCTTTATATCCTTCTGAATGCTGCCCAAGGAAATACCAAGCAAGTTAGCTCAAGTGATGGCTGGTAAGATTTTTGTAAAATTAATATCTACTTACTGTGATGCTTAGACTGCAGCACATTATGTTCACTGATAAGTCTCCTTCAGTATAGACTTCTAGAGTCACGCTGCTGGCTTCATGCAAGGTCTAGCTACTCTGCTACACAATACTGTATACTTAGCCAGAACGGACAAGAGGAATGAAGAGAATAAGAACATACACCGTGTCCTGAACAGATCTGGGTGTCTGTGGTGCCCGGGCAGGTGCTGAAGTTGAAGGATTCGATGGGGAGGCAGCGATGGTCAAGGCACACCATATTTGGCCCACATGGCGTCCCATTCTCCACATAGCCCAGGTCCGTCTCCTCATCAAGCTTCACATGCCCACCACTATAAGACAAGCAGGAAGATCCCCAGAGACTTGTGCTTTTACCAGACACCCAAGAAAGTGCTCTGGGCTGCTACCTTCATTTCTGTCTGCATTATGCAATGCACAGGACCAGGGAAGAGTATGCACTAGCTAATTTAACTCACCAGCCCCAGTGTGAAGCAAAGCAAAATGGAGTATATCTACATCAAAGAATATAATGATGAAAACAACATTTTTCTTGCATAAGAGCTTGTGTTGTAAGAAACACTGAATTTAGTTATGCAGGACTTTATTTCATCTTGCTGTGAGAACATACCAGGTCTGTAACTGGTATTAAACTAACATATGGCAATGCATTAAGCTGCCAGTTAGCTTTAGCAGTGCAGCAAATGTCTAAGTATTTTCAGCAAACTAAACATGCTACAAATATTAAAGAATGTAGTTTTGAGAGGCCAGAGAAGAGCATTATCTCTCTATTGGCAAAACTGACAGCTACACAAAGGGGTCTGCAAAACAGCTGTGCTCTCCATACACAGTAAAGTTTCAGAAGGTTAAAAAGTTTGAGCTGGAATAATGATTACTTCTTAATGGGACACTTTTTTTTTTTTTTTGTAAACAGTTCTCCACTTCAGAATGAGAAACATCCTTTTCCAGGCAAGATGTATATTGACAGCCCTATTTTCAGGATTTCCAATTACCTGCAAGAGTAGACTTTACCAAACTGCAAGACCGATGAAGTGATTTCACCATCAAGTTCTCCAAGTCTGGGCACACTAGATATGTTTGAGCACAGAAGGTATCCACAAAGCACATCCCTGCATTGAGAGAATAAACAGATACTCACAAAAAAGAAAATTCAAGAAAAATGCATGATCAAAAATGTGTTTTTCTTCACTTGCTTTTGCAACATATTTGTTATTCTTGCTTTTTTCTCACTGACAGAACTGCCATAAATAATGTCCTATTTCCCACAAAAATTATTCTCCTGAGAATGAGGCTTTTTTGTGATGTATTATCAACAATGCCCTGCAAATGAAGAACTGTCAAGAACAAACCACATCAAATTGATTTAATATCCTATTAAGGTTCAACAGCTGTCCCATGGAGAAGCAGTAGAAGTGGTCTCTGACATATGTTAAGGAATTAGAGACACAACTTTCAAAGCGACTTTAAACTTGTATGCAGGGACTTGCACATTGTCAGACTAGGAGGGTAAGGCCTTTCTCATGTTAATGCATATTTTTCACTTTGGAGTTTGTGAAGGAACAAAAGTAAGGTTACCACATCTGCACAGAGAGCTGGGAAAGGATCTATAAGCAGAATTAGAATGAAAAAAGAGGACATGCTTCTGCTCAGAGGTCTCTTCATGCAACCTTGGGAACTGAAGAAGGGATAAAAATCCCACACCAGCTGTTTTTAAATGGATCAACTTACTGTTTATTGCACTGTATCCAAGAGTCCTTGTCTCTTCCACAGTTTCCTTTCTCAGTCCCTTCAATATTCAACTTCTCATAGCAGTACCTGTCAGCAGCTGACACTTCTGAAACAGAAACAAATCTCTTCTCAGGTGATAAAGACTTTGAAAAGCCAAGCCCTGGGAAATAGGGATGCGCCATGATAGTAAATAGAGCTTTCCAATCTGTCAAATGCAGTATCATGGTCTGCAGATGTGCTTTGGAACTCTGCAAGATATTCTTAATAAGAACTGAAAATTGTTGACAGGATTCTTTTAAAATTTTTGTTATAATTGACCAATTTTATTGACTCAAAATGTCCAGAAGCCACTGAAATTAGTCAATAAATGTCATTATAGGTTCCCTAGGTTGTTAATAAGAAGTTAAATGTAAAACTTCAGTCTCATACAAGTAAGGTAATCAATACTAGATCAAGAGCTGAAAAAGAGGAGGGAAAAACAAAATGAGGGGGAGAAAGGAGTGAGGTGGAGGGAGGAGGTGTTCTGTGTCTCTTTTCAAAGCTAACCAGCAAAGCTTGCTTAGGAAGCACCACATTCAGCACAAATACCAAAGGTTTAATATCCTTATAGTACATGCCAGAGGTTTAGAAGGGAGATGCTCCCCTGAAACCTCCAGGTGAATTGTTACCATCCAAGTAATCCTGCGGTTTAGCATAGGCTTTCCAAAGCCATCAGTACTTTTGAGCCAAACTCTAAAACAAATTTAAACTCAACTTTCTGTGCCATGCATAAGGATCTCATCTTCAGCAATGCCTGCATTCCTATAATCTCCCAACATAATGAAGCCATTCAAAGAGCTTTTGTCCTGTCAAAGGTTCTTTGTAAACATACCACTGAAACTGTTGCAGTCTGCATGCTATTAATATAAATATGTAACATGTCTGATGTCCAAGAGAGATATTATATGTGACCACGTAGAAATTACTGTATGCTTTCAACACAATTGAGTATGTAAATGGCACCTTTTTGTACTGCAATGCAACCTAATTCCTTATTTCCCAATCATAAAATGATCAAACCTCTCTTACAGTTAGAGCACTGCCAATCAAACATAAGGCAGTAGAAAATATCTGCTATAGCAATAGAAAAATAACTACAGATATGCTGTGTTTGGTGAGATGATATACATTACCATCCAGACCAAAAGAATCACTCATTTTTCCCTTCTTGCATGTGTGGTTCTTGCACATATGCAGGTTTGTTTGAACTGCCAAAGCTTTAACTGAATGATAGCTAAATACACACTTTGCTTGACAAAAGTAATCTGCACAGCCAGTGGGCATCATTTCAGGAAGCCTTGTCTTCAAAGAGAGACATGCAGTCCACATGCTGGACTGTGCTCTTCTTACTGAGTGTCCACTGCAATTTCTTTGATCTTTCCTACGTTTTAGAATAGGCCACAGCTCTGCCTGATGAATAGCTTATGCCACAAAAAGGAGCAGAGGATGTGTTATTTGGAGAAGTAGGTGATGTAGTCAGCACTAGAACATCAACAGAAAAAAAAACATGGAACTAAGAAAGAAACAAACGTGAAGTTAAAAACAAGCTTAAAGTTAAGTTTAAAACTGAGTTTGAAGTTCTAGGAGTACCAAAATTACTCAAAAGAAAAACTAAAATTCAAGCGCAAAAATCAAAATGGAGCAGAGTTCTGGATCACAGCATGCAGTCCTGGTTGTTTTCAATGGGTCTGAGCATTCATTTTCCCATAATTTTTTCTCAGGAAAACTACTTTTCAAGCCACATGAATGATAACCAACTTAGAAACTTTATTATTTACTCACTTTCACCCCAGATATATTTACACTGTCGGTCTCTGGTTTTACATCTTCCTCCAAAGCAAATGCCCTAAAAAGAAAGAAAATATATACAAACAACTTCAAATAATTTGCTTATCAAACAAAAAAAAGCATTTGCAAAATAAACAGACTTGCTATGTTTTCTAGCAAGTCAAGTAATATGATCCTACTTAAATGCTTAGCTCCAAAATATGACCAGCACCCAAAAAACAGGAATTTGATGACACTGTCCAAGGTGAATTCCAAAGTTCTTAAATCAAGCTCTATAAGATATAATCCATAAAACCATTAAGAACATAAAAGAAATTGAAATAATTACCTGCCTGTTATCACATGAATATCCATCCATTTTATGAATATTGGGAGAACACTATAGGGAGAGAAAATAACTAATAGATCATTCAGAAATGCTTGGAAACAAAAACAACAAGTGGCATATAGAATATTATCTCATTTTCATATTTTCCTTCTGAGCTTACACCAGTTTTAATAACAATTTTTATACACTGTATCATACAAAAAAGTAACACTCATATTGACCAAGATACAACAGGCATTTTTTTCATTTCTGGGGTATAAGACCTAAAAATTACCTGACTGGAGTTTCCCGTGCAGTTCTCTGCAATATCACAATCATTCACTGCTTCTCGACACAGAACACCCTTAGGTTCAAACTGAAAAAAAGGACACAAAATCAGTATCTTGGTTTCTCCATGTTATGCCTTAAATGCAATACCTTCTTCACATTTTAACTAAAATAAAGAATGGGAAATAGTAAGGTTCTGAATGAGGGGGGAAGGCTTTCCTTCCCCTGGCAGGCATTGCACCATCTGAGCCACAGACTGTTTGCAGGTGTGAGTGGCACTGCTCCCTGAGCCATCACCTCACCCCCAGGTGATGAGAGCTGCCATGGGCCCCAGGGACCTGTCACACCAACACTGCAGGGGCATTATTCTGGCCAGGGCCTCCACATGTCTGTGACTTTTTTTGTTTTAATAAAACACAGAGGGAGAGATACTGATATTTGCGAATTCCTTTAAGACCTAGAAGACTATAATGCCCTAAAAATTATCATCATGGTTATTACAAATTACAAAAATTTCTGCTGCAGAACAGAAACTATTCATAAATATACAGAATTAGGTATGATTTGACACCAATTTCTAATTGAATGGGGATTTAAGAATGAAAAACGAACAAGTGACCTAACAAACACATTTACAATCTGATTAAAGACTGTGCCACTGACCTGCAAAAGCAGGAAGGCATCCCATAAGGGCAACCATTGGTGCCTCTGGTCATGGACGTATTTCAGATCTCTTATTTTGCCTGGAAGCCTGAGCTAACCAGTTCATTCTACAGCTGCATGGCTTTCTGCTGCGTGTGCACACACATTTTGTTTGGGACAACTGCTAACTCTATGGCTGTTGTGAACAAGTATGTGACAGTGCAAAGACAAGACTCTAGCACTTTCTCAACCTTAAGTTTAGGTTTACCCACTTGTCTCTGGAAAGATGCAGACAGCAATGCTGTCAGAGATACTATGAGATGCTGGGATGTACACCCACCATGTTTTGTTTGCAATCCCTTTTCTACTCCTGCTTTCAGGTAGAGTTCAGCAGGAAAAGGTAACCTCTCAAGATTGGGTACTGCTAGTAAAAAGTCCTTTGAGTTGTCCTGATTAATAGTTCCTAGGGATGTAAGTTTTACAGAATTCTTCCTTTCTGCTCACGCTCCCTGCTCTTTACATAGACAAGCCCTTATCTCATTTGCAGAAATAATGTAGGTACACAAAAGCTTAATTCTTTTTCTAATATTCTTCAGTGTGGCGCCCATGTGACTTGGATACTTGAACAAAATCCACCCACACTGGCAATCTGCTGATTTTTTTTTATATTACATTAAAAAAAAGGAATGTCCTTAGGCAAATGTGATCTGTTCCAGCCTAATCTGTGCATTTTCTTTTTACCATTAGGATGAGCACAATCAAGAATGTGGTCTGCAGTTAATAATGATCCTCCTGAGGAAATGAAACCCTCAAATGATGAAGATAAAAATATCACACATAGTACACCACCATGGTGTTAGCATCATTAATAATAATTGTCATTATTATTAAATGAGCATCAACAACTATTTGAAGTGAAATTTGTCTGGGCTCCCTTGCAGCCAAGACCTGGCTAGATCTCTTTTATTATTTACGGATGTATCAGGAAGAATATCTTGCAGTTTATGTAGGACTCGATTTGTTTTATGCAATGGGATTTCAGTCAGCACAAACGAGAGGGGACTGATAGCTAAGTGAAGTTGAAATGAGGTGTCTTTTAGATTAACATTTCTGAACACTGCTGCTAGCTCTTTTGACTTTTTTAAATCACATCTCTCAGGCCATTCGTGGTACGATTTTCCCATTCAGCCTCACAAATACAGAACAACACAGCAGGCATTATGGGAGCGGCCCCTAAGTAAGCCTGTGCACGTATTATTTCAGCCTGATTCTGAAACCAGAAGGCTTTGGTTCTTCTCCACTTCTAATCATACTCTCAAACTGAAGAAGCCAAGCCTAAAACACAGCAAAAAGCCCTGGACAAATCATTTTCCAGCCTGTTTTAAGAAGAGACAAGAAGTACAGATGCTGTGGTGCCTGTATCACTGCCAGGATGATGCCCTTACCCGGCACTTCCGACAGCAGAGCCCGTTGCTGCACTGGGAGCCTGCTGTCAGCGTGCAGGTATTGCAGCACTCTCCTCCTTCGCTGGCACACTCCTGAGGAACACAGACATTTGTAGCAGAACATTCAAGAAAAACAGATGAGCCCCATATTTCTCACATTCTTTCTTAGCATGCTACCTATCTATTGACATCTGTCTATGGACAGATTCTTCACCAGGCTGCTAGGCACCTGGAGGCAGAAGAGAGCTTGCACTGTGAAGTATGAAATTGCTGCTTGCTATGCAGTATAGGAAATCATTTTCCTAATTCCACAATGTTGCTCATCAAGTTCTGAAATTGTAGCACTGACCAGGTTATACTTCATTTTTAAGGACTGTCTTTGCATAGGTAGCTATTTTTATTACTCTTCAGAACTGAAGTGGTGATAAAACATTTCTGTTTTATAGCTGGCCTATGTTGTGCCAAACATGATGAAAAAATGTGAGAAGTGAAGAATTTTTTTTGCCTCGGGACCTTAGCACTGCATGTCTTCTTCCACTTAACCCCGAGCAGTGATGGGCAGCTAGAGGACCTTGCTGCTAATTTAAAGCACATTGCACTTACTGCCGCTGTCCCACAGTCGCACTCTTCTCCGTCTTCCACAAAGCCATTGCCACATTCTGGAGGATCCAGAAGCTGCAGGGCATAATCAGAAATTGAAGAGAATCACTGTCATATTTATTCCACAACTGTCGTTTTTTCAGCTAACATTCCAAATGCGTTAACCAAAACAAGGTGCCAAACTGAGAGAGAAGCAGAAACAATACAAATGAAACGTGCAGAGACCAAACAACATCTAACTCAGCAGTTACACTGAGTTACATGGTGTGTTCTGTGTCAGACCATCGTTTTTACAGCAGATTCAGTCTGAGCAGAAGTCATAATTAAAAACAAAAGGTGTGACAGTAAAAGACAACTTGTGAAACAACTCCACATTATCACAACAGGAGTTGTAACTCAATTATTCTGGAATCATATGCCCCGGCTTGAATCCTGCAATATACCTTCAGAAAGGATAACCATGAAGTCATTTGAGGCCAGATGGCTCAGAAATGCAGGGAAAGGGGAGAGGCTGGGATTTTTCACCAGTTTTTGCAACAGTTGGTTGTTATTTCCTTTTCTTTTCAACTATCACAGTTGGGAATTTGCAACATGTGATACAGGCAGATAAGTGAAGCTGCTAAGACTTCTTCCCTTCCTTTTCCATTCAGTCTCCCCACCAAACTAACACTTAAAATGTAAAAATCTGCATGTTTGTAGTAGCACTGTCCTTTCCCACCCCTCAGCCCTCCCCCCAAAAAGAAAGAAATTTTTCCTTTTGAGCATAAGAAAACATCATTGTGGCTTTTATTACATGAAGGAGAAGGTATAGAAGTGCATTACCAAGTTAGTTTAAATTAGAGTTCATCTCTTAAACAAGGATCATTCTAGAAACCACCCTGCTCGAGAGCCACCTGCACAAACACACTGCTGGTGGTGTACAGTGGTTCTCTGGCTGCTGCTTCTCTGCAGCCCACAGGATGGAGCATCACCCTGCAGCCGCCTCGGTGCCACAAACCAGCCCACCATCTGCGGCACATGCTGGCAGCTACTGTTAGATCCCCCACTGAAATGGAAATTTGACTGCAATATGCAATTACATTACATATAAGCAAGCAATTATCTGTCACGATTATTGAAGAGTTGTTTTAAACTGCTCGTTTCTTATTTTTCCAGATATCTTAACTTCTTCGGCATCTCTAACTGCGCTGCTCAATACAGACAAGCAGATGGCACAAAGAGAGGAACCCAGCGTAAGACATTTTCCAGTTTCCTGCAGCACACTGGCACCACTAAACGTGAAATAAAAGAACAAAAACTGGAAGCAAATTGCATAACTTATCCCCAAAAGACACTATATAATTCATCTAATTGCTTGAAAAGAGCTTATGGTCAATCTGCTCCTGGAGTTGATTTTGGCAATCACAGCTGATCTCACAACAGAGCACTGTTGAATGCTGCATTTTGACACATCTCATGTTTCTTGAAAACCACAAGTTGGTGTTTCACCACCCTTACTAGGAAGCACGTGTGCTTGGCAGCCTTGTGAAGTAGACAGACATCCACTGTTTATAACCTCAACACAACCCGAACAGCAATACAGAAAGAGTCTAAATCACCCTGGCTTCTGCATCTGACTTTCACATTTTCATATGCCACTAGAAAAAATTGCAAATGCCAGTAATCTAAATTGAGATCAGAGTAATTGTGTTTTTCAGAGTGACAGATGGGTAAATGAACGCAATCACTAAAGCAAGCCCAAGTAAGAAAGCATTACACTATGGAAACAATCCACTCAGCAAAGTAATAAAATGATCAGCATTACTCTCTGTCTGCAATAAACTTGGAAAAAACAAACTTTTGAAATGCAGGAACATTTTAAAGAATGAGAAACCTTGCAACTTCTTCCTCAATTACAGTGCTTTCTCCTTACTTTTCTATGTCATTCCATGAAAAGGAGATAACATTTCAGAGATAAGCACACAGTTTATCCAGATGTACCCCAGAACTGACTTTCTTTTTGCATTGTGGCCACCTCAGCCACCAAGTCAATTTTTCCATGCGGTACTGTCTTTCTGCCTTAGCCTCTTTCATCTGCTTTTTTAAAATACAGCCATTAAATAGGGGATAATATTAATTATACGTAGAAAAGACTCAAGATTACAATTAATTTACACATTAACATGCGCTTCAGTAAACGGAGCAGATCTATACTGAAACCCTGCTGCAAATCCTACATCGTAGAACTGCTTACATCTTGGCTGCAGTTTCCTTAGCCCTGCTTTGCATTTATTTCCCTGAAATGTCTCAGTTCATCATTTTGTAGTCTTCGCACGCACCCTGTGAATAAAGCTGTTTAGCTGGTAAAAAATTCAGACACAAGAGGCAAAGAAAAGGAGATATTCCCCACTACATTTGATTTCCAGTACTCATGCAGCAAGACCTCCAATTTCATTCTTAACAGGCAAATATGGAGGGGATGTATCAGCCATTCAGGCAGCCCTGATGCTTGTGCAGCTCCCTCCCAGCAGCTCCATCGCATCTGCTCCCTGCTTCTCAGGGCTCACTCTGTTGCTCTGCCTCTTCCAGTATTAAAAAAATTAGTCCCAGTTTTCAAAATCGTTTCTGAAAGTCACTGTGAAAACTGTTCCCTCTTCCCAAGAGGACAACTACCACAACCACCTGTAAGCAATCGTGGTTGCATAGCTGTGCTCCCCCTACTGCAGAGTGTCTAGATCTTGGAACAGATGTGAAAGAAAACTATTCTTCATCTTCCAAGGATTCTTGCCCAAAGACACCAGTCTTTCACTCTTCTTGATTTCATCTAAGTTATAATTCTCAAAGAAAAAATACTCAAGAATAAGGTGATTCTTACCTTGGTTGGCTTATTGAAAAGGCAAGCTCCACCTCCATTGTTTAAAAATTCGTGATACTCTTCAATATCACACTTGGAGAACTTGCTTGGTAGATAATACCTACAAAGAAATAAGTGCTTTTTATAGTACATTTTCTTTCTTCAAAATAAGAGGAGGACAAGTGTAATATATTTTAGAAAAGCTGCTAAAAATACACTGTTCAGAATCAGACGGAAGATATTTGCTTGCAACATTCTTTAAATTTTAAATAATTTTAGTAAATGAGAAACATCTTTCAACAATTACACAGAGCTCATGTAAAGTGAGAAGACAAAAAGTTTCCACTAAGTTATTTTATGCCAAATATCATAAATCCAAACAGTCACTGTGTGATTCTCACAGACATGACCACTTCCACTACAGGGCCTGTTTCAGAAATACAGTTATTTCTTCCCGTACATTCTGCAGTGGACAACAGCTGCCTTTCTCACACGTGGCCCTTTTAAAGATTGCTTGTAGTTCACTCCTCTCTTAGTTGAAATTGCTCTCTTGGCCCACTGATTTTTTTATATAATACAGTTATGCCATGTTTAAATGTGCTTCTAGCAAACATCAGCTAACATTTTAGCTTCCTTCTCTCTTGTGCCCCATGGAATGGATTTCATTTGAGTACCGATTGCCAATCTGAGTTGCACTTAATACCAATCTGAGCTTTAACCAATGCAAAAAGACTTTGAATTGCTCCTTTCCACAGGGAAAGAGTTCTTCCTAAGGTGACTTAAGTGATCTTTATGTTTAGGTCCTATGCTAAGTACCTATGCTTCAAACAGATTTTGGAGTCTCAAAGGCTTCTTAGTATCAGTTCAGTACTAGATAAAACAAAATATTAGCAGAAGTACATCATAAAATAATCCTGCATTGCCAACAATGATAATCTGCAAAACATAATTGTTCTTTACAGTCTCTAGTGTTTATGATTTAGATCTAAAGACTGCAGAGAATGTGGAATTCGCATTGTTCAATAATAAGCTATGAGTGCATATATTTGTCGTATGCCTAATTATTTTAAAGGTTCAGACTTCAAATAAAGAATTTAAAGGCCATTAGATAAGGAAGCTTTTTTTTTTTTTAGACGAATCAAGAATGTCTCCCCATATTGGCTTTCTGTCATATTGAAAATCAGAAAAATCTTACACAGTTTGCTTTTAGGTACACAAAGTGAAAAAAAGGCACACATTGATATTTTCAGTATTTTGAATGAAATATGCTTTATATTGTTCAAAATAGTTCTTGCCACAAAGCAACTGTGAAATTTGCAAGTGAGATCAAAATTGCTTTAAAAATTTGGAGTACTATCTGTATCTCATAATAGAATCTTGTTTAATTTATATGCATGAAGACAGGTCTGTAATATGGAGAATTAAGTTCTGAATACACGTACTAGGAAGCATCATCAATTTCAGCTAACAGCAGAAATTTACAAATTCAGTAGTCCTCACATAAAATCTCTTCAGTGACTATTTTATGTGAGCATGAGAATATCAAACCTCCCATGGGAGCATTTTTTCTAGCATTACCATATAAATTGTAGGATGAAAAATGAAAGACTGCAGTAGAAGTAATAAAAATGAGACATGGGCAAGGAATTTGAGCACAGTATTTTAGGAATTTTGATGTGTCTTTGTTTCCACAATTCAGCAGCAAACTCATGAAAGAAAAGAAGTGAAACATGGTTCTGCTCCTCTGCAGAACCTGGCTTGGCTGCTGAGCTTCTGAGCACTGCAAGTGAAACCAGTTGTTACTAAAAATCCTTATATCCTCTCATTAAGTTACTTATTCACATATTTATAAGTGTCTATTCTAAGTATATTTTGTAGGTAATAGTTTGCTTTCTGAAAAATAAAATAATTCACAGAAAAAATTCCACTGAAATGCAAAATACAAACATTTTCATGCTTTTTCTTTATGGCACTGTATGCAGGACATGACCTCCCTCCAGCAAATGTCTTACCCTGTGTCTCCCATTATGCATCCAGACCAGGTGTCCTCACATTTACACTCACCTGACAACAAAGTAAAATTTACATCTTGAATCTTGAGAGTCCAAAGTACATTTCTTATCACAAAAATCACATTGGAATCAATTCTATTGCAGTTTTAAATATAAATTGAAAAGAATCATTTGTTCTTTTATTGCACACTTTAATTTAAGTGTGTCAGTGCACACTGAGCTTTCTTTCAAAATCTATGCATGATTCTTTGTAATCCTGCACCTTGAAAACATGCTCTATGTTTTTTTCCTTCCCTTAAGTGAAGTCAGAGGAAACTGCAGTCAGCCTCCAGCACTTGCATATCACAAGGCAGATCTGCCACCTTCTCCCATGTCATTATATTTGATTCCCAAATTTTCAGTGTCAATAAGAGAATCAATAGGACCCAGCAATTTTACTATTTTCCCCTTTTCCTTACAGCAGTTTAATAACATGCAGCTAGAAAATGAATACTGAATATGTAAGTAGCACAGAGCATCCTACGTGTTGGAGTATTTTTCAAAATAAAATTATGTGTACTGCAATAACTTTTGCTTGCAGATGTACCTCTGCATTATGTACTGTCTCTACAACGTCTGAAAACAAAATCCATGAAAACATTTATGTTAGTCAATATAGTAATTATGTTTTTAAACGTAAGGCTTTCAGCGCAATGAATTGTCATATGCCACTTAAAAAAGCACAGTACTAATTTTGCTTAGTGAAAGTAGGGAGGAAGAGCTGCTTGTGGGGATGGAGGATTGATGAATTAAAGCACTGCAGGTTAACAGGCTATTAGGAAGTTGAAACTCAAGGTTACAAATAGTAGATAAATGGCAGCAGCAGAGTGATAAATACAGGAGATTTGGGTAATATAGAAGAGGAATTCATTTAAGGCAGACAGGGAAAGAGATGCGTTGCCAAATCCATCCTTCGTAACAGGACTGAGGGGGCTAATCATCATCCCTGGGTCTAATAATGTCTGTCTCTCTACCTCCGCACTGCAGCATAGCAGCCATTCAGTTTGTGGGTGTTACATCAATCTCCCTGAAATGAATGGTGATAGACACCTTTTTAATTTATTTTTAACAAAATGATGGCACCAGTGCTACCAACAATTAGGGCAGGGGGAAACTGTGACATTTAAATAGAGGTAAACCAATGGTAGTGTCTCCTCATTTTATTAGAAGTAACAGTATTCCAACATTGTAAGAAACATTACAAAAGAACATATCAGAGAGACACTGGTAAGATTCTCTTGTTAAGATCTTCTCTTGAGAGGAGGTGAAAAAGCATACAAACTTACCACTTATTAGTTTTCTTCTGTCTGAGAAAATGCCAATATTTTGAGCCAATGTCTGTGCCAGGGTAACTGCCATTAAGTCAGGCTTTCCAAACTGAAAGAAGTAAGTAAGGTAGGAAGAGTAATCAGTTAGGTACACGTATCTCTCTCCATACTCAGCACTGCTGAGGCTGCACTTCAAGCATTGTGTTCAGTTTTGGGCTCCTCACTACAACAAAGAAATTGAGGCCCTGGAGTGTGTCCAGACAGAGAATGGCAAGAAAGCTGGAGAGGAGTCTGGAGCACAAGTCTTGTGAGGAGCAGCTGAGGGAGCTGGGATTGTTCAGTCCGGAGAAGAGGAGGCTCAGGGGTGACTTTATTGCTCTCTACAACCACCTGAAATGAGGCTGTGGCAAGGTTGTAGTTGGCCTCTTCTCCTAGATAACTAGTGTTAAGACAAGAGGTAATGGCCTTAGGTTCTCCAGGAGAAGCTCAGTTTGATGTTAGGAAAAATTTCTTCTCAGAAAGAGGGGTAATGCATTGGAGCAGGTTACCCAGGAAAGTGGTGGAATTACTGTCCCTAGAGGTGTTCAAGAAACGTGCAGATGTGGCACTGAAGGACATGGTTTAGTGGGCCTGATGGTAATGGGTTGACAATTGGACTTGGTGATCTTAGAATCATTAAGGTTGAAAATTACCACTATGTTTCTATAATCTCAGGCACAGCCAAAGCTTTTTTCATTTAAAGGCAATAAAAGGCAAAATGAGTTTCACAATGTTAAAGTAATTACTTCAGAGGAAATAGAAAATGAACATGTGAGGAAGACTAAACGCTGGCTTACAAATAAGTTAAGAAAGTCTGCTTCTTTTTTGTTACTGTAGTCACAAGTATGAATGACAGAATATTGCAAAAATTACACTGTTGGAAAGTGCATTTGAGCCCATGTCCAACTTTATTCATGTTCTGTTCTTCATTAAGACTTCCCTTCCACAGAGCAGTGCTAAGGCTCTGCATCAGCAAAGCAGCAGCAAGATATTTTGAGGAACTGCACTGATAAATTCCCTGCAGACAAATTTCCACCACTTTTCATCCACCCCAGTACCCACACCTACCTCATTCACACCTCCGCCTTTAAGCAAGGAGCAGATTCCACCAGTGTGAGCTACACCACTTCGACTGCTCTGAAATCGACTCCCCCTTTGACAAAAAGGAACATAAAAGAAAGTTTACCCTGCTCATCCCACAAATTTTGCACCTACCCATCCTAGTATTTATCTTATTTTCAAATGAGAAATGAGCAAATGTCAGGTCCCATCACTATGTTGAAAAGTTATGCAAAAATAAAATGAGAATCACAGATAACACTCATAAAACTCATATGACAGACAGTCTCCAGAAAAATTTAACCATCTTCCCTCCTCATTCTCACATTACCTAATATAAGAAAGCGTAAGACAAGATTTCCTATCTCACCATACTTTTGTTCATATGTAGAAGTGAGGCCTGGCACAGCTGCCCACAGAAGCTGTGAGTGCTCCATCCCTGGAGGTGCTCAAAGTCAGGTTGGATGGGACCCTGGGCTGCCTGAGCTAGAGGGGGAGCAGCCCTGCCCATAGCAGGGGGTGGGAACTGGGTGGACTTCGAGGTCTCTTCCATCCCAAACCATTCTATGGTCAGTCATACTTTAGCAAGTGGTTTTCTAAGTCCACACTTTGACACTGCTTTGGTGCATGCTACAGAGTGCAAGAGTGGCCTCTGTGCTTCCAGTAGGAGGCCCGGGAAGAAGACACATGTCCAGTTAAGCAATGCAGATGTGGCAAAAAAGAAAGGGAGATGCCTTGTGGCTCCCTGATGGGTCAGAACTCCCCAGAACTGCAGCTGATCTCATCCAGGTGGCAGCTGCACTGTAAGCCTAAATTTAATGATGCCTTTGATGTTGACCAAGTCAGTATGAATGATTGTGAGTTACTGGAGACAAAAGATACTCTGCACCACTTTAGAAGCACTGATCCAGCCAAGCCAGTGCACACTGGTTTTCTCAAAGGAAAACAGAAAAAAACATGAAACAGAACACAATGGGCTAACTGCACTGAAAGTGGAAGTTGATTTTTAACTGGTGTGCTGCCAGGGCAGTCAAGCAGTCACTCGCCCTTCCCACTCAGCCATATTTTACTCAAGGACACAATTTTAGAACTGTATTCCCTAAGTAATCTACAAATACAATATCTTGAACACCAGTGAAAATGGTGTTACACGTAGCACTGGAAATTGTATTACAGTGTTATCCATTGTCCCTGTCACAGGGAGACTGTTACTGTGTCCCCTAAAGACCTTACAATTTCACAGAAAAGGAATAAGAAAGATGTGGGGGAAAAAAAAAAAATGATTCCCTTTTTACAGATGAAGAACTGAGACACTGACAAACTAAAATGTACAAGTAACACTTAGGGATCTAACTTCACATAGGAAATCAATGACAGTAATTAAGCGTGTGCAAAAAACTGAGAGGCTGGATAGTGGCTCCCTACTGGAATCATGTGAAAATGAGGAGTTAAAGCTAAATTTGTTCATATAGCTTCCTATCTCTCAGCAGAGAGGGATAAGGGCTCCAAGCAGAACAGTCTACCTGGCCTGTCTCCTGGGGATAAAAATCTTATCAAGAGTGTCTCTGTTATTTTTTAGATATGGTTTGTTACATCAATCCTATTATCAAAGTAATTTAGAGATAGTTTAGAGATAATAAAATTCCTTCCAGATTATTATTCTTACATCATATGTCTTTCTGAAGGACAGACTGTTCTGAGGATTCAATGCTCCTTTTAGTAATCCTGCAGCATGCAAGTCATTCAACAGAGCAAGGCAGACCAGAGTGCTTCTTAAGCAGGAAAGCTCATGGGTTTTAAAGCCAATATTCTGCTTTTACACAGTTCAACAGTGCTGCCTGTGCTCTACTACTAAAGAAGTGAATGCACAAGGTGGAACCATGCATCACCCTCCTGCACTCACAGAGCAGGTAATTGTACAGGACAGCCAGGAATTAATTACAGTGCATGCAGCTCAAGCTTAATATGTTAAAACTAAAAGGGGAGCAAAACCTCTGGTTGCACTGGCAAGCACATTGTGTGCTGTTTTAACTTCTTCCCACCTCCCCTCAGAAATGTTATTTTCTTTATTATTGTGAGTTATACACACAACAGAAAGGAGACGCGTCAGGCACTCGTGATAAGCAACCCCCAAGGAAAGGAAAAGAAACAGTAAGAAAACATCACACGAGATTACGTACGAAAAAAGGTGAACTGCATCACTTTTCTCTCTGATAAAATCCCTCCTATATTTCATAAACTCACGCAGGGTCACCAAGGGGTTTTCAGATATGGTGAACTTGTTATCAGTAGCCCAGGTTTCCATGGCAACCAATACTATCCTGGTGTTAAGCTGTTCTTTATATATCTAGTACATTAACAGAACGAACAAATAGATTATGTCAAGGAGAAAGAAGGTGAGGTTTACCCCTTCTTTGTAACAGGCTTCATTCTTATATGACAAAATATTTAGCTTGTTCTAACACACTTTAGGTTCCCCCAGGTGCTTTTGTCTCCCTTAAAAGCAACAACAAACATGAAAAGAAAGTAATATCTAGATTTTAGGCCTAATTCTTCTATCCCCTCTCTTATTCCACAGAAAAATCCCCCTGAGGTCCTGCTCAGGCAGAGGATCATAGAACAGAGGTGAGGTTTTTGACACAATGCTACAGAAGCTTTTCAAACATTTCAAAGATTTGGGGTTAACGGGCATCTTATATTGTCCAGCTCACTTCAGGGACACAAGAGATATCTCTTATGTCAAAAAACCTTTTGTTTTCACTGCTATTCACCTCTACAGGAGTATTTAACCTCTCACCGGCAGCCATACATTCAATACTGGGGGTTAATACTCCACATTTCAAGAGTAGGAACTACATTCTTCTTTTTTCTAGTAATGCTTTTCCAGAATGAGATGTAAGAGCCAGCAGCTTATGCTGCTTAGTATCAAAAATATAATCCACATAATCCATTTGTATGTCCCTATTCTAACTCACTACTCAAATGATTTTCATTTTTCTCTTTTTTTTAAGAGATATTTTAGTGTGTTCTAATTCCGATAATTTTTTAGGTTTCAGGTAGACAACCTATAAGCTTGTGTTAAAAACTATCATATCTAAGATTCTCTTTAAACTTCCAACTCGAGATCTATCTGTTAAAGGATACTTAAATGCCACAAAAAAATCTCTAATGCTTTATTTTAGACAAAGGCTGACATGGCTGACTTCAGTTCTAGATGAAAACTGGTAATCTTTGCATTTGTTGTTATTAGGTACACCATGAAATAACAGCTCCTGATTTATCAGAAGGAGAATCATATGATGATCTCATGCGTAAAAGAACATTCAGTCAAGTACTTACTAAATCTGCCACGTTCACAACTGACTTAGCATAGCTGTTTGTGTGGCCAACTGATAAGCGGTGCTTTTTACACTGCAAAACAAACACAGATAAATTACAAGTATAGATTTAGAAAAACAAGCTCCTTTTCCAAAAAGCCCACTAAGTAAAAAGAACTATGCCAACAGGAGAGCCTCTGTGTATGGTTTGGTCTCTTGTGCTGAACATACATTACACAACTGTTGTAAGGAAAGCATTCTAAGATCTTCAGCAGAAAAAAAAAATGCTATACGAACAGGAATCCATTGTTAACCTCTTTTACTACTGAAGATACTTTTTCATGTACTCTTGTCTGCAGAAACACAGACATAAATGAGCACCATGAGTATGAAGGTCACAAGTATCTTAGAAGAACTCAGGACTTAAAGGCAAAGATTTTCAGAAATGTTTGACCATCTTGTGTCCCAAGATGCTTGATTTTGGAGGGAACGTTTTCTGGAAGTTGGGATCTTTTAGTTCATAAGAAGTGTCAGGCAGTTGTGTATAATCAATGGATATCAAGATGTTACAATTGTATAATCAATGGATATCAAGATGTTACAATATAATCAAGAGAGTTAGGCAAAGTGGACAATGATAACAAAAGAGAACAAAATGGGAGGCTTACCCTCCTGGCTGGCTCACCACAAAACACCAATAGAGGCAATCTCCAGAAGAGATCCTTCCCCTCTGGTAGCCAGCTCTTAAATAGGTCCAGGAGGGGTGGAGCCTGGCTCCACCCCTTCCAGCAGCACAGGAGAATTGCCTTCACCTGTGCTCCATGGCTGACTCATGGCTCGCCTCAGGTGATCAATCAGAGGTTCAGGCTGTGACTCAGCAGTTCCCATACACAGCTGGCTGGTGGGAAAGGAAGGTTTATGAGCAGAAATGGAGAGAAAAAACACCGAAAAATGAGGAAGTTTCACTTACTAGAATAACAGAAGAACAAGACTGCAAAGCTAAAAATGGTATAAAAGATGAAATGGATATACGAAATAAATGGAGGTGTCCCTGGACCTGGGAGCTGCTGGCTGAGTCCACCTGCAGTGCCACATCTACTGCACACATAAAGAATGTGCAAAACACGCCTATGTGCCATAGGGTAAGGGATGAGCTGAAAGCACACCTCCTCTTCATGGAATGAAATTATGTAGCTTATTACAGGTGTTCAAAGACATTTGCTTCAGAGAACAAACTTCTAAGTTGGCTGATTCTTGCATTGCCAATAATTAACCAAAAATTAGGAAGCACTGTCTCCAGACAAATGAGGTCCCAGTGGAAATGTTGCAGCCTCAGGTCTTCAGGATAAACATACTACTTCAGAGAATTCAGCATCTCTTATTGTTTGTTTTAATCTAAGAAGTTCTTGCTACTCTCACCAAACTGAGCTGACAAGAGCATGTTGGTATCACTAAAATTGTCTAATAAGAATGATAAATTCCTTTCAGACTCCTATTGTCTGATTTTGCCAGTTTGAGTAAAAGAAAGAAGTTGTACCTTGCAAAAAGGACTGACAAAAATGCATAGACACACTGATTTCAAAGCCATAAGGAATCATAAAATCATCTAATAAATAAAATCAGCAGTTTGAGGGGCATCACTGGTCTCTGAGCTTTATCTAGTTGCTTCAGTATCAAATCCTACCATTTGTGTTTGAAACAAACACATCTTCAAGAAGTACCCTGTTCGTATTTCAAGAGTGTGAGAGATGAAGAGTTCATCATTTCTTTTGCTATGCCTTTTATTAATTAATTAATAATGAACTTCACTGACATAAATCTGTGCTTCTCTAAGCCCTGTTTTTCTTCAATACTCTAAGCCTTCTTATGCTTCTTTCCACTACATTAGAGAGCCCATTTATGTTTTTCCCTAAGAAAGTACTCAAGCTTAACAAAACACATTTCTCTAAATTTATTCGGATGTATCAAAAAAATCTAGTCAATATTAATCTTCCCACTGCACAAAGTCAATGATTACATTAGTGACTGCCGAGCTGCTGCACTGAAAACAAGTGCTGAAGAAAGTCTGAAAGAAAGCCATCAACTTAAGCCCCATTTTCATTAGCTACCTTTTGATGCAAAGCTTTAATTTATGATGCTTTCTCTGATAGGTAGGACTGCTTGCATTCTTGGTGAAATCATCTTGCTATTGTTCAGACATCTCTATCAACATGAATCTTTTTTCTTAAGGACACTGCACTTATTCTGGCCATATGTTATTCTTTATTATTTATCACTTATACGAAAATTAAGACAATTTTATTCTACTGGTAAACATAAGTATGCTAGTCTTACCATCAGATGATCATTTACAATCATTAACTCAATGTATTTTGTTTCTTCTTCAATTTTACGTGGAATCTGACGAACCTACAGAGAGAATATAACCATAAAAAAGCCTAGTGATGGCAGAATACAGAGAAAGTATAACTGATAACTAGAAACAGTTTCAGCAAACAAGTTTCTCACATATTTTTGTTAATTGTCTTAATTCCGCTTTTAGATTTTGACAATACTTCTTGTGATTAATTATGCCACAGTAAAAAAATCCTTAGCTGTACCCCATGAAGACAATTGTAGGTTTACACGTTTGTCAATTTTGTCTGGATTTGCAGTAAAAATGAGTAAACATATTTACTGTGTAACTGGTTGGAATATCTTGTGGAGGGTGAAAAGGAATGGACTGGGTTTTTTTTTTTCAAATATATAGTCCTCGTATTTCACCTCCTCTGGAACACTCGTTTGAGCTTAAACAATGAAATCAAGCATTTTAATCCAATAAATTCCAAGTTTAGGTTTTTTAAAAGACAATTCTCAGCGAGGCCCACATATATAAACTTTGTATTTCACTGAAAAAGTAATCCTTCCTAAGCTATTTTTTATTGCACTGCTTGATTCATACAGTGAATGCAGTACCCACCTCCATCTCACACACTTTGCATTTAGAAACACTGATGACAGTGCTTCTCCATGGTTTTTTCCAGAAGAGTTATTACATCATTATGATTTGAAAATGCAGAGTAATGGCTAGTTTAAAGAAAGACAGCAAACCACCTAATGTAAAATAAGATCCTCATGAATGATTTCTGGATTTTTTCCAGTTTCTTTCTCACTTCTTTTCTCAATCTGAGATGGTTACATTAGTCAGAGAGAAAGTCATCTTCCCTTCTCACTGCTCTCTGTTTGATGTTGCCAGCACTGTTCAGGCCCTTGAGCTCTATTTTGACCTGTACCATTATTTTAGCTCCATTCCTAAAGCAAAGAATTGTTTCTGTCTTTCCAAGGTACAAATATAAGTTAATTTCTTCTCCCCTTTAAGAAAATGGAGACCGAAATATCACTTTAGAATATTTATTTTAAAACAAAGGAAGATAAAATAGGCACTTGTCACCATTGCAACATAAAAGTGATTTGTTAATGTTTCATTAGTTAGGAGTTTCTCAAAAAATACATATCCAAAATAGGATAAAATATTTTATCTATTATTTTTTCCATGTGCAATTTAGCGGTGTTTCAAAATTTTATAATATTGAGAGAAATGCTACTCTTGAGATTCAGCAACAGATTAAATGGAGCCTATGTGAGGAAATAGCTTGTGCTTTTATCAATGTAATGGAGAGGGTCTGCCGTGCTTTGGCCACACACACACACACACATCATAGGGTACCCAAAAATTCTCTTGAAATTGACATTGTGGTGGCACCTTAATGAAAGGTGACAACATAAGCACTTAACTATTCAGGTAGGCACTGTACAAGAGAGTCCAGCAATCCCTTGTCAACATTAGATACCGCTTTCTGTTATAGCTATATCATACATAAAGACCTCGTGCCAGTCCAGGAGCAGCAACAGGACTCCATCTGGATGAAACAGTTCAGCAGACACAGAACAAACTCGATAGCATATTACTTATAAACAAGCACATTGGCGCATACCTGCCTTCTCCTTCTTTTGTGCCTCGGCTTTACAACAAACTTCTGTGATGTAGCATTCATGTGCCAGAACTCTAAGCAGAAAACACAGGCAAACCCATTGAGCGTTTACAAAAATACAGCCCAACAATTAGTGACCCCAATGCTTCATGACAGTAGTATGGCATTCTTCCATGCATCACATGCAGAAGCAACTCCTTTTTTCAATGTTCTAGTTAGAAAGGAGGCAATGTTACAGATGCTTCCCTGTAACACCGTTCTTATTAAAAACTCTACTAGTGATAATCTGGTCTGCTGAAACAGATGATCTGGAGGTGTCGTGCTTCGGAAAGCACAGCAGATGTTCTATGCCAAAACTTCACCAATACTGGGGATGTAATATTAGCACAGAGCTTCCACAGAGCAAATCATATTTTTGGAAATTCAGCAGGCATTCACAGAGCTCTCTCAATAGCTACCTAAATTAATAAGAGCATGAAAGGCAGAATTAACACTTTAAGAAGATTATATCCACAAAGTAAAACATGTTTGAGTTGGGAGAAATGTTGTGGGATTTTGGCAGTGCTCCCTGTCAATACGATATTCTTCCCTGTTAATCCCACTGTGTCTTTGATTTGATAAACCTCTAATAGTAAGCACCAAGTAGTTTATTTTTTTGCCAAATCTTTTACTAGCCACTGATGGAAAGGAACACAATATAAACCAAATAGAAGACAATGCTTGTTCCCACCCTCTCCCCCACAGCTCCATGGGGGGGCTATAAGAAAAAAGGGGCCAGACTTTTTGGCAGGGTCTGTTGCGATAAGACAAGGAGAAATTATTTCAAACTAGAAGAGGGAAGATTTATATTGGATATAAAAATAAAGTTTTCTATGATAAGAGCAGTGAAGCACTGGAACAGGCTGCCCAGAGAGATGGCAGATGCCACATCCCCGGAGACACTTAAGGCCAGGCTTTACTGGGCTCTGAGTACCAGATATAGCTGTCCCTGCTCAAAGGTCCCTTCCAATTCAAATGATTTTATGACAATTCTACTTTTCCATCTTCTGGATTCAAAGCATCTCCCTCACCTTTCCCTGTACAATAGCAAACTCCTTCCTTATCTTGTCTAAACATGTTTACTATTTACATAGCCCCACAAAGACTTTTTCTGAGTAAATTAATTGCTTGTGCATTCTGTAACCTTTTTACTTTGCCTAGTTTCTTTCCTTCGTATTTTCTCTAACTTTGGACACACTTTAATTCCCCAGGAACTGAAGACTGCAATAATTCCATGGCAATTTTACCAGTCCTATAGAGAAGTAGACAGCACTACGGAAGACGTGTAAGTTAATGGACTCCAGTTCACACACCTTTATAGACAAGTTTTGATTGTGTTAAAAGCCCTCAATACTTCAGCTTCGCTAGTATACAGGTTTCTTACAGCACTACAGTTTCTCACCCACTTCTGGTGTTGTATGTGATATATGTGTGTAGTGCTGCCTGTGTCATGCAATGTATGTTACCCCCGTTAACAAATTTGCTGTTCATGAGTGCTGCAGATTGTTCTTATACTGTTAAATCAATTTGCAGTGATATATTTTTTTTAACATGCTAGCTATGCATATAGAGAGCTATTAAATTAAGGTAAATGTTAATATTTCAAACAAGCCAATTAATAATCTTACCTCTCATACTATAGTAAAATACCTGCAATTTCTATTTAAGGTTCAAATACACTTGAATACAGTAATATTTGGAGCTTAATAGAGCTGATAGAGCTGTTATGCCAACAAAGGCTTAAAATGAGAAATTGAATTACCCATCTGACAAAGTTTCACCAGGGGTAAGAGCTAATGTTAACCTGGCGTGGCTATTCACTTATAATGCAAACCATCAAAGCAAAGCTTGGACAACTGGCATTGTCTTGGCTGTATCTGGACAATTATGCTCTTATTTTGGTGCTTGAGATTTGCAGATACCCTTCTATGAAGGGGCCTGTGCAATCCTAGGCTTAGGAACATTTTCATGGATACACCAGTGCACTTAAAGATTTTCTGTACAAAAAAAAGATCCATAATAAATTAAATAATACCCAAGGATTTCTATCTATTGCTTAAAGGCCTGGAGCCTCCAGAGCTCAGAATGATAACAAACCAAATCTTCACATTTATAAAAATAAATTTATATTTGATTGTTCTTTGGGTATGTCGATTAATTCAGTCTGTGTTTGTGCCCCTCAACCTTTCACTTGAGGATTTTTGTATTATCATTAATGAAACTAGTAACAATATAACTTCTAAATCAATGAAATAGTAATTTACAACACGTGTATGGGATCCTGGATAACTTGACCAGCAAACGTGAAGCTTTACCCTGCCATCGGAAGTCAGCCGTCTCGAGGGGAATGCTGCAGCCATTAGCACTGACACATTAGCACACATTAACACTGTGCCATAACTCACAAGCTGGATGAATTCACACAGGGTCCATTTCCAGCCAGAGACCCTCAAGCTAAATAACACGACCAGCAAAATCACCCAGGAAATGCAGAGCTGAAAAAGCCTAGTGGAAATTTTGACAGGAAGATATTATCTTGAAAAAAATGTAAGGACAACTCAAGTGACCCCAAAAGGAAGGGACATCATGTTATACACTACTTGAACAACAACACCTTCAATAAATATTGTTGTCTAAGACAATGCCAGGGCACTGTCTGAAGACAGACTGTGAGAAAATGTACAGTCTACTAAACTATGCAGTCAAAGGCTCCAAACATGCTAAGTTTTTGGATGAGCTTTCCTTATTTAAAGTCAGTGCCTCTACGTGCTATTATAGAGTACAATACAATTTATTCTTTTCTGCAATAGCTATTTTCTTTTTCGTTTGTCTTTTTGTTTGTTGAATTCCCAAAGGGCAAAAGAATGTAAAAAGTATATTGCTATTGAACTGCAGTAAAATAGTGGGCTTTTACAATTACTGATATTGAGTAATCCCTACCACTTGATTTTTTTCCTTTCTAACATCAATATAGAAGCTCGTGATACATCCAGTCCATTCCTAATGCAGAGCTGAGTGGAAATCTGAGCTCACACACTCTTCAAAAGATAAAAAGAAAATCCTGACATCAAGGAACAGCTGCTTACGCTGGGCAAATTGATAAATTAGGAAAGTATTAAGGAACATAAGAAATACCGATGCCATAATCTAACACAGTGCTTGCTGTTAACAATGACTCTGTGGCAGTACTTCCAAAAATAAAAAAATAAAATAAAATGAATCTATAAGACAAGCAGTTACTTGCAAGTATTTCTTAAAGAAAACAACAAAAAAGGAAAGTGAAGGCAATAGAGCACACCATGCAGACTGCAGGGAAGACTCGGTGCAGGAGCTGTGCTGGTGGGGCAGCGCAGGCTGGGAGTGAAGGAGGAGGTAGGGTATGGTGTGCTGTGGGGCTGGGGATGAACACCAGAGCAGGGAAAGGGTGGACAAGCAGATGGCAGTGGGAACAGCTCTCATCCTCTGGAGGCTGTCCAGGAAACATGACTTAAAACAGTCTTACACTGAATAACCAAAGACAAATAAAAACGGTGGGATTTTCAGCCAGAGCATAATTTGTTAAAACTACCAAAACTTTTACAACAAGCCTCAGAATAATGTTTCCAAACAGCTTCACAAAAGCAAATACAAACATGTAGAAGAGCAAACAGTAAGTTAAATTTTATTGCACTACGGATGAGATACTAAGCACAAAAAGATATCACCTTTTCTCCACATTACAAACATTTCTATAACTCAGACCACTAGCATTCCATAATTAAATCTCCTTTTCAACATTTTAAACAAAGTAATTCTATGACCTCATGATTTTAATTCAATCAAGGGAAACATCTTCCATTTGAAAAGCCAACAACTATTTACTTGTTATCTACAGTAAAATCAGAACTATGCAAGAATATTTGGATTTCTGTGGAAAAATCTGAAGCCTTATTTTGACAGATCTTTTGAGAATCAACAAGATTTGGTGGAGGTGAAACAGGTGGGTTCTGCTTGCAATGAATTCCTTTTCATAATTTTTAAAGCAGAAAATAATAATTTTACTCCAGAATCTTGCAAACATAAAATTGAACTATTAAGAAATCTTAGGAGACTGCCGACAGATATCTGTAAGTACCAGCTCTGGTAGTCTCCTGTTTTAACAGTCTGAGACAGAAGACTCCTCTCAGTCACTCAGCTGTGACTGCATTACTTCCAGACTTCTAAATGACATATCCTTAAGAAACTCTGATCCAAGATGCACTCGATCAGTCAGCCTCGTATTCAATACATTGCTCTCATTACTTTATCATCTCTGCAAGCACACGGAGTAACCACGGATCATGTGTAAGGTGCACATACATAGTAAGCTTCCAGATAGGATGGGGACAGCATGCTGCGCACAAGCATTTTGTGCTGCCCTTCCACCCCATTCCATCCTCTGCCTTGCCTGGCCATAAGAAGCAGGGACACAAGGCACCAAGCTGGGAAAATGTTACGTTTAAAGGCAGAAAGATTGCTTCTCCAGAAGTGGAATCAGGGTGACCCAATTGTAGCAATTCCCTTGGTTGTTTAGGTTTTGTTTTGTTTTCCCATTAATTCTCTGAACAATTCTGCTTTGCTTAACAGTTAACAAAGCTGCATACGCCACGCTTCAGAATAGGATGATTCATCTTTTGGGCAGTGCCCAGCATGGTAGGAAACCAGATCCCACTGTTTTCATAGAACAAATAATACTTGTGGCAATAGCACTGGGCAACTGTAACCTCTATCTAAAAAGAAATTAGCCTGGAGTTGATTTCTACTAAAATGAGTGTCTACGAAGGGATAGTTTCATTTATCTAGCATTTATTTTATAGTGTAAGAAAATGCATCTGTAAATATTGCAAATCCTTGACAGAATAAGGATAAGTCATAAATACTGCCATTTTTGCTTCAACAAGCCAACTTCTCAGATGAAAACTGATTTTTAAAAATTTCTTCTTATTCCACACACAAACTGAAGTGTTTTGGGGATTACTACAAGAACTTGAAACCACTTCTACCTCCAAAGTAATTTTATTTAAATGAACATCTGCACTACAGTCAGCATCACAAGAGATGCTGAATGAACTGGAAATTAGAGGGCCCAAGAACAACAATAACATACCCCTCAGGCTTACATTCACACCATGATACTCACCCTGTATCTCAAAATGGGAAAAATCCATGAAAAGTTATGAGCTGTTGGCAATGTGAGGTTTATTTTCATCACTTTTAGGCTACCCTATTCCTTTCTTTTCTATAACTCTTAGCAAATAATGCAGTCTATAGACTGCAAGACTTGTCAAGTGAAACATACACCATAACGTGAAGGTCTGGGAGGAGTCTGATTCATTGGATTCAAGTTTTTTCAGCCCTTCATGTTCTTTTCCAGTGCCTTCAGTGTTTCAGATCCATTTTTTTCAGTTTTTTTTTTTTAATTTAATAGGAAAGAGATATGCAAATAAACAACGCACTGTCAGAAGATTATTCATCAAAAATGATTAACAAATCTGATCTTAGACTAAAACAAATCAATAGCCATGAATATTAAAAAATCATACCAGATGGCAGGTCATCCAAAGGAAACTCAAACAACTTGGATTTGTAAACAGAGTGGAAATGGAAGTCATCCTGAAATAGTAAATAATTGCATGCATTAAAAATCAATAATCATCATCTTGTGAGCCTTAAAAAGACAATTCTGAAGGGTCCCTTGCTATTCAAAACCTATATTAGGAAAAGTGCAACCTGCAAGGCACCATTTCTTTTCACTCTTCTCAGCTGTGGTGGGATTGCTATCACCACAGTTAGATCTTTTATTTGAAGTATGTGAGTACAGCAACAAAGTCGTTGAGCACACTTAGAGCTGGACTTAGGAGAGCTGCCCAGGGAGCACTGTGAGAATCCTGGGAGCTGCTGCACTGGAGCAGAGAGCAAAGCAGGAGGAGAGGGATAAAACAAACCCAGTGCCAAAGGAGGGGACAGAACACTCACAGACATCTCCTGCTGGCTCCAAGTGACACTCAGCCTCCAGAAGTGCTGCACTGCTCTACTTCCAAGTGTTATGGAACATGTACGTGTATCACTACCTGATTTTTGGAGGATTACTTCTGTCTGTGATTAGGAGGACTCAGAAGCTGAGAAGCTGAGTTAATGAGTTGGTAACGAAGGGAATGAGTCTTATACCTAATCTGTACCAATGAATGCCTGTATTCCACAAAAAAAATACAGCAGGACTACCAGAAGTTCTACTTACATCTGAATTGTAGTTTTCATCTGGTTCAATAAGGTAAGTATGATTTCCATCATAGAACATCCCACTGTCACAAGCAAGAGAAGTAAATTTAAAACAAACATTAGCACAGTATTGAAGTAAGTTTAAGAAGCTCACGTATTTAAAAACAAATATTTCAGAAGAGAAGCAGTTAAAAATGTTTTCAGGAACTGAACATAATTCTGAATCATTTTTTTGTTTCTTTGCTTTAGAAAGATGCTCGTTCCCATGATGATATGATAGATTCTACTTTTATAGATAGATTCTACTTTCTCCCACAAATCTTCCCTACAATATGCAAAAACACCACAAAAATCCAGCTTAGAGCCAATCTCATACAGATCTACTTGCAATAAGGGCTCTGCTTTCAGAATTATTCATACAGAGGTTTTCGAACTTGCCTACAGCTTTCCCACAAATAAAAATAAATTGAACTGATCTTAGATTTTCATGGTTTTGATTTACTCTTTCCAAAGTAATATTGCATAGTACCAAGGACAAGGGACAAAACAGGATGTTTGAGATGCTCCAGTAATAACAATTACAATAGATGGTCTCTTCTTCTCGAATTAATTCATCTTTCTAGAAAAAGTCAATGCTATATATAGCACTGTATCAGTACAGACATTATGTGATTTTCACGATAAGGAAATTAAAACCTCATCACATGAACTCATCTAATGAGTTGTGATGAAAAATACAGATACTAAGGACAAAGCCTTATGCCACATCCTTGGCTCTGGTGAACCAAGAGCTCTTTCTTAGTGGCACAAAATCTTCATAAGTTCTATTACAAAGTACTGAAGTGTTAAGGCATCCCAGGTCAATGAAGACAGCAACGCCAAATGTTCTGGTACTACAACTTGAATACACAGTAAAAAACACAGTCCATTCCTACAATTATGCTTTCTATTACGAGCTACTTTAGGTTTATTTATGGAAAGAGGTTAGGGAGGCATTTCTTATATCACTATTTTGATCTTCAAACAAACCAGCGATTTTTTAAAATTTTCCCTTTATTGCAGTGACATACACGCATGGTTGGAATTAGGCTGTATCAGCATGTCAAAATGCTTTCAAAATGCTCCTAACAGGACTTTGAGCCTGACTATAAATCCAACCTGCAAGTTAAAACTTGGCACACATTACAGCAGCATAAAAGCATTTATTTATTTAGATTACTCTTTAGTAACCTTCTATACATTAAAAAAAAAATTATCAGAATTATAAATGACAAACCCTGACACTTTTTATTTAACGCAACTTAATTTTTAATCAGCAAAATGTTAATTTTGCTCAGGGCCTAATGCAGTGAGTGAAATACTGCCATTTCATTTCTGACTATTTAGAAATGTAAGTGTATATTAAGCTTGTAGACTATGACATCTCCTGGTGAGCATATTTTTCTTAGCATCACTTTTACAAGGTTAACCATTCAGCATTCACAGAAGTAGCTTGGGTTGCTGAGTCTATAACATACTTCAGACTTTGCCATGAGTACACTCACAATTCTGTGCCTATTCTCCAGGAAGAAGCACTGTCTGTGCTCCTAAAATAAATACTCTAGCACCTGCTGAAGTTTTCTGCCTCAGAAAAATGTAAGATTTGGGGACATTTGGGAAGGTCTGGAACAGTACTTCATCGTGCTAAACCTCCTTCATTTTCATTACAGTTTTAAGCACAGTCTGCAAGACCAAGTGTTGTTAACAGATGACTTCTTGTGTGAACGTTGCAGCACTGGCTTCTGATCAAGTCACTTAATAAAAAAAATAATCACAGCTGACCCTCAGATTTGACTTGCCCCCCATGGCACTTTTCCAATGACTTCACTAGTTTTAGACTGCCAAGGTATCACACTGCTAGAGAGAAAGCAGCAGCAAATCGCAAGCTATCTAAAAAATCCACATTTGGTTTATGTAAAGTCTTCAGAAGAACAAATTTGCAGACATGAAAGTCCAGCTCGCAGTTACAACAGCAGTTTATGTATTTACCACCAGTGGGCAGCAAAATCACAGCACAACTGGTTTCTGTGTGACTGGCCTCCAAACGCAGAACCGAGCTCAGCTCAGAACTGAGCACAGATCATTTATATCCCAGCAACCAAAGTGTTCTGCATTCAAAGCATTCTGCATTAACTCACAGGGAGCTGTGGTTACTGCATATCCCACAGAAAGAAAAAATTCCAGTGAGTTTGGAGTTAAAGTTGTAGAGAAACTTATTTCATTAGCAAAGTCATTAAGAAGAAATTCATCATCTGAGGACTCCATCAGCCAGTCACCTTATTAATTTAATTAATGAAAAGAAAACTACCACACAGACATTACCAACAGAAGAACTCACAATTTATGATTAGAAATACAACATCATCTCTGCAGGCATGTCTGAAAAAATGTCTGTTAAAGGCATCTGTTCTGTCTCATGCATTTCTTGCATTTCCTAAAATTCAGTATATATTTGTAGTATTTAATTAGCATTTGAAACAGATTATAGAGAAACTAGCTGTAATGCTGGAGATGCAATGCCAGAGAAGGTAAGGTTAATATAGCTCAGGAAAACAATACTTTCTCATAACAGATGCTGGAATTACCAGCCCATTACAGTAAGCTTCATATTTCATCCTGTCTGAAGGATAACTGCTGAAACATTTCACAGAAAGAAAAAAAAAAAAAAAAGAAAAAGCTAACATTCGAGAGAGCTGAATCGTACAGGAAAGAAAGCATCTTTCCTCACGTTACTGCGTTAGAAGAACTCCATTTGAACATTAGGCAGTTTGAGAATACTGAGCAGCAGCAGATCAGTCTTAAGAGGCAACCAGCAAAAGGAGGCCAAGAAAGGACGTGTGCTGCCCCTCCTTCTATTGCTGCACTCTCTCCTAGGAGTTAGCAGGGGCTTAGACCTAATGGATCACTGCTAATGGAAGCCATGAAGCTAAATCCCCTCAAGATGCAGCAGGATGCTGCTATTTTTAGGCTCACTGACACCGCCAAACCTGAGGTCAGTTTAATCGAGCTGCTCAACCTTGACAATAAATGAGAGAAGCGCCTCTCTAAGTCAGACAATGAGTGCAGGAACGATGGGTCTAACGCATACATTCTCCCCCTTCCTTATAAAGAAAGTACAAATATAAAAGTTACTTAAATATGTGTATATGTGTGTCTGATACAGAACAGTTGGAAACGGATAACAATGAAGATTTCTATGAGCTGAGTCCTGCTTCCTTAGGGAAAGCAATCTCCACGCTCAGGCTCTCCTTGCTGCCCTGACCTTTCCAGCTGATCTGAACATCAAAAGTGCTGAGGTCCTGTAATTCCCAGAGTCAACAGACACTAAAGGGACTTGGCTGCTCTGTAAACCTGACAAGTATCTTTCAGTAGTGCCAAAAGTAGACAGGTCCAAAAGTTGAGAATCAGCACACAGCTCTGTGTAACCTTCAAGTGACAGGTGCTTTAACTACATTACCATTAAAACGATGCACTTTGAAACAAATTTGCACAATTTTTCATCCTTTATTTCAGATTTTCAAAAGTTTGACTATCTCAGAGACAAGCACTTCTGTGAAGAACATGGATAGGACTAGAGAAACTCAACACTGACACTTTCCTTTGTAAACAAAGTAGAAAAGAAAGAATAAATACAGCATTCTAACA